ATTATATGTTAAATGCAGTGGTTAGTAACACTGATATACCTCCTGAAATTCAAGCAGTATTAGCTAACTTTAAAGATGTGTTTGAAGAACCTACTGGAATGCCTCCAAGAAGGAAGCATGATCATTCTATTACTTTAAAACCAGGATCTGAAGCAGTTAATGTAAGACCCTACAGAATGCCTTACCATCAGAAAACTGAGGTTGAAAAACAAGTGGCTGACATATTAGCTGCATCAATCATTCAAACTAGTAAAAGTTCTTTTGCCTCACCATGTTTGTTAGTAAAAAAGAAAGATGGTAGCTGGAGAATGTGCATTGATTATAGACAGTTAAATGCACTAACTGTGAAGAACAAGTTTCCTATTTCTGTTGTGGATGATCTCTTGGATGAATTGGCTAGAGCTAAATATTTTTCTAAGCTGGATTTAAGATTTGTGTACTGACAGATCATAATTATACCTGAAGATATTCCTAAAATAACTTTTAGGATACATCATGGTTATTTTGAGTTTAAGGTGATTCCCTTTGGGCTAACTAATGCATCAGCCACCTTTCAAGCTCTTATGAATGATCTTTTTGGTTCCTACCTTAGAAAATTTGTTCTAGTCTTTTTTGATGACATTTTAATTTACAGTTCTGATTTGCTTAGTCATGTGCAGCAATTAAGAACTATTTTGTAGATTCTGAGGACAAATCAGCTTTTTGCTAAGAGAATTAAATGTTTTTCGGGCAAACAGAAGTGGAGTATCTGGGACATTCTATTTCTCAACATGGAGTTGCTACAGAACCTTCTAAGATTCAAGCTATTCAGTAGTGGCCTTTTCCAAATAACTTGAAATCTTTGCATGGGTTTTTTGGTCTCACTGGCTATTATAGAAAGTTTATTAAAGCTTATGGGGGGATTAGTAAACCTCTTACTACAATGCTTAAGAAAGATCAGTTTGTGTGGACTGAAGAAGCTAAGGAATCATTTCTACTCCTTAAAAAGATTATGTGTTGTGCTCCAGTGTTAGCCCTACCTGATTTCAATAAAAGGTTTTGCTTGGAGACTGATGCTAGTTCCAAAGGTATTGGGGCAGTCCTATCTTAGGAGGGTAAGCCAATTGCTTACCTTAGTAAAGCTTTGGGACCAAAGCAAATTGACTTGTCCATCTATGAGAAAGAATATTTATTAATCCTAATGGCTATCTCTAAATGGAGACACTATTTGGAAGGAAATCCATTTACAATCAAAACATATCATGAATCTTTGAAGCATTTGCTAGATCAAAAACCCACTACTACTATTCAAAAGAAGGGTCTTACTAAACTGTTGGGATTGGATTACTCCATTCAATTTCGCAAAGGGAAACACAATAAAGCTGCTGATGCTTTATCAAGGAGGTTTGAGGAAAATTCTGAATTAAACCAATTATCTACAACAATTATAATTCCTGCTTGGGTACATAAAGTTGAAAACAGTTATGAAGGGGATTATTTTGCAAAGGATTTAATTCCTAAGTTGTTACTTGGAAATCAAAATGTGTCACTTTGGTCTTATACTAAAGGTGTTTTAAGATATAGGGGCAGAGTTATATTGGTTAGACAGGTGGATTAAGGAATCAACTTCTTGCTACACTTCATGATTCACCACAAGGGGGACACTCTGGGATACAAGCTACTTATCATAGAATGAAGCTATATTTTTATTGGAAGGGCATGAAAACATTGGTTAAACAATATGTTCAACAATTTGATGTATGTCAAATAATAAAAAAATGAGCATGTCTTACAGCCTGGGTTACTACAACCTTTACCTATTCCACAGCAGGCTTGGGAGTTTATTACCATGGACTTTATTGAAGGATTGCCTACTTCTAATAGATATAATTCTATTTTGGTGATCATTGACAAATTCACCAAATATGGCCATTTTTTACCCCTGGTTCATCCCTTCACAACTACTGAAGTTGCTAAAGTTTACCTAGATCAGGTCTACAAACTCCATGGTCAACCTAAAGTTGTTTTTCTGATCGAGATAAAATTGCACTAGCATATTTTGGAAGGAGCTATTGAAGTTATTAGGGACTACATCCCTATTTACAACTACTTATCATCCTCAAACGGATGGCCAGACAAAGAGACTTAATCAATGCCGGAGCAATAACTAAAAGGCCTTTGTTTTTTAAAGCCAAATTCTTGGGCTAAGTGGATATCTCATGCAGAATGGTGGTACAATACTAGTTTTCATACAACTTTGGGTAATACTCCCTTTACTGTCCTATATGGTTATACACCGCCTACAATGACCTGGGGAACTGAGTCAAGAATAGCTAATGTGCAACAATTAAATGCAAGAGAGGTATAATGTAAACAATATACTACTGGATTAGCTTACCAAAACACAAAATCGGATGAAGCATTATGCAGATAAAAAGCGCAGTGATCGAGAGTTTGCAGAGGGAGATGAAGTTTACCTTAAACTTCAACCTTATAAACAGACTTCCTTAGCCTTACACAAGAATCTGAAATTATCTGCTCGTTATTATGGTCCCTACAAAATCACAAAAAGAATTGGGTCAGTCGCTTATCAACTGGAATTACCGAATCATTCTAAGTTACATCCAGTATTTCACATTAGCCTTTTGAAGAAAAAAATTGGAAAGAAAGGTGTTGCTTCTACAGACCCACCTGAACTCACTTCTGATGGCCAACTACGGGTTTATCATGCGACTATTTTAGATAAGCGTGTTATCAAAAGAAACAACAGGGCTGTGACTTAACTGCTCATACAATGGTCGAATTTAGGAGAGGAAAACGCTACCTGAGAAGATTTCACAGTGCTTCGTTCCCAATTCCCTGACTTCGATCCTTGGGGACAAGTATCGACTGCAGTTGGGGGTATTGTCATGATTCATGAGGCTGAAATGGAGAAGGATTTGGGGAATCAAGAGGCGGGAATGAGAAGGTATTGGGGAAAATGAGAGAATTAGGGACTTTGGGAACAAATGAAATAAAATTGATGGACCAAGCAGGAAACATACCTGAAGAGAAGAACTGGCTGTGTGGATCGAATGGGTGTGGACCAGAGAAGAACGAGCCCAAATTGGAGAACTAGAACCCAAACAGTCTGCAGTGGAATCCAAAAGATAAAATCAGTTACAGGAATCTAGTTGTTATGGAAGGACAGTACAACTGACACTAAATTTTAACAAATTCAGCTATATACTGGTTGTAAAGAAACGAATGAAGATATGAATGAAATATTGAGAATTTTGTTTTCTTCAATCTATCTTCTCTCTTTTTCTTAATCCTTTCTAAAATTCTTGAGCAAATCATCACACTCTCTTTTCCTCCCTCTCTAGTCTATTGTATCATCTTGAGTTAAATATTCATGGTTTTTTTCTTTTTGTATATATTTATTTTGATATAACTGTTTGTTGAATCAATAAGGGTACACATCAAAATAAATATAAGTCTCTCAAAAAATCCTTAAAGACAATGTCTAATGCATATCTTAAATTAATCTAAATCCTAGTAATATTTTTCGTCAATTAAAATAATCAAAATTGAAAAAAAAAATATCATTAAAAGTCTAAATCCATTGATGGACATATATAACGGGGAAAAACAGTGAAATTCTGGGAGGGATAACATCAACTTCATTCAAGATGTCAAGCCCTCAATTCAAAACCATCAATCACAGACAGAAATTTGAAAGCCGTTTCCTCATCTACGAATTTTGTGTCAGTTGTACATTTGTGGCTAATCTTACCCCCCTTAGGGACCATACGCGGATACCTCATTTCTTTCTTTTCTGTGACAACAACCAGAGGCCAAAAACTTTTAAAATTTATAAAATAATCATTAACATTTTTATTATAAAATAATTAATGACTTGATAACAATTGTAAAAAATTAATAAATTTAATAATTATTTTATAATATTTAATAACTTATAACTATTTTATAAATTTTATGAATACTTAATAATTTTTAAATTTTGAATAATTATAATAATCATTTGAACATATAAGTATCAAGTTAGAAGTTTACAATGATAAAATTCAATCATTGTAGTATTACTGCTGCAGAACTGATAGATTCTTTGTTTCGTGTAAAGAATTAGGTACAGAATTCACTGTCAGGGTATTTACCGACTTTCTTTTCTGTTCTGGTATTTATTTACTATCATTTCAATCCATTTTTTCACCCTTTCATCGTAGTTTACAAACTTACATAGTTACCGCCACAAGTCTTTGCTACTTATTTATGTTTTAACCATTACCTATGGATCATCATAAAGTCACATCAGGATTTAAATGAAGATTTTTCATTGTTTTTTTTCTCATCCGACTATGTATGTGATAAGACTCTCCATGACATAGCCACCAACTCAGGTAAGCAGATTTGGATGGGAAAAACAGTAGGTTTCTAAAAGGGAAGACCCACAGCACTGATCGAAATCCTATCCTTATTCAGAAATAAAAGAAAAAAATATGATGGAAGCACCCATGTCTAGTCATGAAAGCTGCATAAGTTTGTTCAAGATAGGAAGTTCAGATTTGGGACTGATCATTGCAGCAGAATCTTCTTTAAATTGTGGGATTTTTCTTTACTTTTTAATCTTTTTGATTTGGGACAGGGAAAGTTTGCTTTTTGAAAATGAGAAGTTTTTTATTGAGGAAATGACATGACATATGAGTGAGTGAATGCATGAGGTATTGGGTGGCAGTGGCAGAGAGAGAGAGAGAGATAGTGGATGACAGAGACCAGCTCTTGTAGGGATGGAAACAATGCTTGGGGAATTCACAAAGTTTTTGCTTTTGTTGTGATTCAGATGCATTTGCAGAGAGGGAAAGGATAATGGATGGTGGGAAAGAAGGGTTGGCCCCAAACCACGATGGGTGTTGGTAGGTTAGGTAGCAACCCCTGGCCCTTAGATTCCTCCGGCCCACCCCCTGAACTCTCTTGCTTCTCAAGCAACCCTTCTTTTTCTTCACGTAACTAAGCCACCCTTTGAGAAGATATCAATATGGCTCCACATCCCATGACTTTGGTCATAAAAATCTCTGCATCACCACCCTTTTCAAGAAATTTCTATTTCTTTTTCCTTTTACACTGATCAATCAAATCTCTCTTTTGCTTTTCTTTCATTAAACTCTGTCTCACCACCACTCCCCAGTATCTTCTTCTTTCCCTTTGAATAACATCATGGCAGTTAAATAATTGGGATTAGGATTACTGTCTAAAACTCAGCTGCCTGTTGGGTCATGTCTTGCAATCGGATGGCTTTTTTCCCAGCAAATTTCATGCTCCAAACTCCTCATCAAGAAGATCATTCTCAACCACCAAATTCCATCAATCAAATGCTTCCTTCATGCACACCCCAAGAATTTCATGGTATATATAATAATCTGAATCTTTAGGGTTCATCAGTTTATGTATATCTAACCTTATAATGGAATTGATTTCTGTTTCTAACACACTTACATATAGGTGTTGCGTCATTTCTGGGGAAGAGATCAATATCGTTTTCCGGTATTAATGCATGTGAAGAAGCAAATGGGGAGGATGATTTGTCAGATGATGGTTCACAAGCAGGAGAAAAGAAGAGAAGGCTTAACATGGAACAAGTGAAGACTCTTGAGAAGAACTTTGAGTTGGGCAATAAGCTTGAACCTGAGAGAAAAATGGAGCTGGCTAGATCTCTTGGATTGCAGCCAAGGCAAATTGCCATTTGGTTTCAGAACAGAAGAGCAAGGTGGAAAACCAAGCAACTTGAGAAAGACTATGATCTGCTTAAAAAACAGTATGAAGCAATCAAAGCAGATAATGATGCACTCCAAGCTCAGAACCAAAAGCTCCATGCACAGGTAATCATATACATGTGTAAAATATATAATTCAGCTTTTTGAAGATTATAATCATAACCAAATGCTTTTATTGACTTTCTATGGAATCAATGTTTTCTCAACTTAATACTGACACATAATTTTACTTTCTATGAGTTGATTAATGGCCTAATATGGTTTTAGTCCCTCTACTATGCCAAGATTTAATCTCTACTCTAACTTTTATCATGTTATTAGCAGGTTCAAATTAATAACATCGCTAGTTGTTGTGATTAAAACAATGATGTAGATTTGATCAATTTGGGCCTATAAATGGTAAAAGACCAAATTATGACATATTAAAGTAGAGGAATTAATAGCAAATGTTAGCATAGTAGAGGGCTAAATTTATAATTAGACCTTGATGATCAATCATTTTTTGAAGCTTAATTAGAGAACCATGAGTCATATGACTCGTGGCAATGGCATGCAAAGAATGAAATATTTTTCTTATAATTTACAACAATGATGTCATTGGTTTTAGTATTAAATTACTATGAATATTTGGCTTTTTTGTGTAACAACATTCTTCGTCATTGATCGGATAAGTTAATTTGTGGGTGCAGATATTGGCACTGAAAGGAGGGGAACCGACGGAATCCATCAACCTCAATAAAGACACCGAAGGTTCATGCAGTAACAGAAGTGAAAACAGCTCAGATTTGAATCTGGTCATCTCAAGGACACCAGCAATCGACAGTCATCCCACAAGCATAACCCTTTTCCCTACGACATCCATTAGGCCCAACGGTGGCGGCGTTGCGGTAGCGCAGATGTTTCAAACAGCATCGTCAAGGCCGGATAATCACCTCCAATGCCAAAAGATGGATCAGATGGTTAAAGAAGAAGGCCTCGGTAACATGTTCTGTAGCATCGAGGATCAAACAGGGTTTTGGCCATGGCTTGAGCATCACCATTTCAATTGACGAGTTTAAAAAGTTTTACATCAAGAGGTGATTAATTTAAGGAGGAATAAATTATACGTTTTAAGTTGGAAGTGATGAGGTAGTTGGTATGAAGCAGATGTAGTTAGCTTTGGAATCGTGTTCTTTGCATTGAAGAGATGACATTGTAATGATTTCTTCCTCTTCTTCTTCTTGGTGCTGATAATCATCAAACGCTAATGCCTAATGGATCATGGTGAACAAAACCTGGTCCAAGTTATGGACTGTTTTAACCCAATTTTTTTCTATTTTTGTTGTAAAAAACGGGAGAGTATGGAATTCCAACACACATTCCAAGAGAAGAAGAAGACAAGCAGATTGAAGAGCAGAAGAAAACAAGAGGAGTTGGAAACTGTCGTTCTCGTGAAGGGGACGTTGCCAGAACCCTACTGCCATTTACTGCTCAGCCCATTTTTGGACTCTTTGATGGCACCAAAATATTATATATATATATATATGATATGACCCACTCTATCGACCACTTGCTATCATCCAACAAAGTCCTCCTCCTTACCCCCACTTTCTTCCAACTCCTTCTCCCGATTTCTTACGTGTATCATGTTCGTACAGAATAGAACGGTATTGAACAAATAATTCCGAATCATTTGGCTCCCACAATGTACAACATATGGAGGAAAGAACAATTTAGGGTTTGAAATGAAATGGACAGATGATTGAAAACATTGACCAACCTTGTATTTCTATTTGCTAAAAACTAACCAACATTTAATACAATAATAAACACTGCAAATCATACTCATTATATCTAGAAGTAAGGCTAGTGGGTATTTTCTATCATTCAGGAACCCTAATTGTACTGAAACAAGTATAAATATGGTTCATGCTCTTTTAGGTTGAGCGAGCTAGAGCTTGTCGGGTAGAATATCTGCAAGGCAAATAAGGTGAAGAGGACGTTGGAGTTTGTACTTTGAATTTTATTTTAAGTTAATAAAGAAAATAGAATGCAAGAGTAGAGTGATCAGATGAGATGAGGAGGATGTTACACTTGAAAATGCGTGCGGGTCAGGATAGAAGCGATTCCTCGTACAAAGTGAATGAGAAGCCTGCCTCTTGTTTTGAAAGAAACTATAGCCAAAGTGTTTTAGCCTTTAGGTTAAAAGCTATAAAGGCATGTAAATTCTGTGTTTTAGCCTTTAGGTCGTTAGTGTGAGATCAGATTAGTAGCCTAATGGGTTTTCTCAAGTAGTATCATTTAACAAGGATCCAATAGAAATGAGATAATAACGGTTAAGCTTTGATATTTGTGTTGGATACAAGGAATGAGGTTGGTGGCGATGGTCAATTCACTCTGTTAAGCTTTGAGTTAATGCTCCAATTTTCCATCTCTCTCTCAACATTTAGACATCTTGATGCAACTAGATTGAAGATAGTCTTGGTATGGTGGGTTATTTATGGTTTGGGACATGACTTTGGCCATTAGTTTACTTTATTCTTTCAACAGCAATTGGGCCTTAGTTTTCATAGTAAAAGGTCCTTTTGTGCCATCATCAAGGGACTCCCTTCCCTTACCCATGTCATTTTGATCCCACTCAGAGTTCAATACACTTTTTTTACTACCTTTATCTTTCCATAATTAGCTTCTTATCCTCGAATTGGTGACATATTAACATGTTAAATCAGGAAGGTCAAATAGTGTTGACTTGACTTGGGCTCAACAACTCCGAAGCCCATATAGGAAAGGAGAAGATATATATCATTTGGACTAGACGTGAGTAGACCAATGGTGGCCCATATGCACAATTCAGTGGAACAAAATGGAGCCCAGGGACACTGACACATGGCATGGGGCTCAAATCTCATTTAGTGTTCAAGTGCAGGCAAAAGTGCCCCCCCCCCCCAAACACCAAACTTGTTTCTGTCATGGAGCGCTGAAATGGGGTCCCAATATGGCTTTAAAAAGCTCAATCAAAACACCCTTTGCTGTTTCCATGATTTATATGTATCATGCAGCTGATGCAATTCTCATTACAATCTGACAGATAATGTGAAAAAAAAGTAAGCAATCATGTGAGACAGACAGTTAATTTTCCTCCTCATACTCCAAGACTAAGCATGCCTGCACAAGAATAGAATATCTCTTTCTACTACAGTTTTTAACTAGGGTGCATGGTAACGTTCAGAAGGGTATAAATCAAAGCTTTAGAGCTAAAACAGTATAAATCTACGTACTTCATGTGGGGGAAGTACGGACTTTGATCAACAGAAGCCATGAAGAGAGCTTCCTGGAAGTTTGTCAACACAATTATGAGATTGTTTGTAAGGGATCTTTTCTTTTTCCTTTTTTTTTGGGGGTGGGGGGTTCATATTGTCAATCTAGAGTGCAAGCAAATCATAATAATTTGTCTTATTAAATCTTTGAAATGGTTGAGTCATGACAATAAAAAGTAAGGAGATAAATTGATTATTTGGTTATAGTGTTATAAACTGCAACGTCCATGACTAGTCCCAAACTTTGGTTGTGAAATATAATGATATTTCGTGTCCTACCCATTGATGCAGAGTTAAAAGAAAAGAATGAAAATGGCCCCAACATATCTGCGAAACGTGAAGCTGCTGGGGGGAGTGAAGTAGTAGCAGTCACCATTACCAAACTTTGTTTTTCCATTTGGATCATATGATGACAAGTCTGAAAGAGGAAACAAAAGAGATAGCAATGTAGATGCCGTGTTGTGTCCAGCAGTTCATTTGGTAGGTGAGCTCTTCTATGAACGCAACATCTTTATTGAAATTAGCCGAAGAGTGAGTCAAGGTGGCAGAACGTAAATTCATCTCCCCCCCCACCTTGGCAGATTCCACTTTGCAGTAAACCAATATATACATTAATAAATTCATCCATTTGTGAAAATAAATTCCCTTTTTGGCTTCTTTATATTCTCACTGTTACTCACCAGTGTTACCAACTAATGAATGCAACAGTAGAGAGAGCTTTATATGATTGGGAGCTTGACTCTTAGCTCCTTCAACATAATATTTCTACCAATTTTGAGACATTACAATACAACATTGGTGTAACGCAGCTTAGAGAAGTTGAGATTATCTTATTCATGGATTGGGGCATAGCATTTATACATACAAGGAGAAAAACTGGAGGAAGGTCCCATATATTAAGGGCTGTGATTTGGATTATATCTTGATTAATATTACATGAGAATCCTTCATCACACAGACACACACACACACATATACACAAAATGAGAATCTCAGCCTTTGTGAAAAAAAAAAAATCTTTTATGGGACCATCAATTGAATCAAATCAGATTTAACAAATTGTGATTCATATATATATGGACATGGAAATTAGGTAAGTAAGCTTATCATGTTTTTTCTCTTAAAAAAATATCCATTAATTTTATTGAATAAATTAAAAAATACAATAAAATCACAATTAAAAAATTAAAATTAATTAAAACTAATCATATTAACATGTTATTTTCTTAAAACTATCACATAGCACAAATTAGTCATTAAAGAAAATAGTTTTAAAAAAAATCAATCAATCAACTTGAAAATATAGTATATACAAACAAACACCATTTTCGACGATAAATAATAAATAACATCAACACTAACATAAAATTAATATAACAATGACAACACGTTGAAGAGGTGACTTCTAATCTAACCTTGATAAAAGAAGAGACATGCTATTGAACAACAAAGAATGTATTATAAAACAAAAGACAAAAATGATCCACCATTTTTATTAGAAAAGGAAAACACATATGATTCATTCCTTTTATGAATAACTTTTAATAACTTAACTTAAAATAATGTTAATAAAACAACGAGAATAATAATTCAACTATTATCAAAGATTCTGTACCTTTGATGTGAATGATAATTAAAATTAAGATGGGACAGTGCACAAACAACAAGACAAATTAATAGTATGAACTATTATCATAAAACGATAGAGCTTTGCATTGTATTCCATCCAAAAAGCTAATTCACCGGCTAAAGTGGTGTTGTCCCCATACACCTCCTGCTTTTCTTTCCGAAAAAACAGTAAGACCAACCAACAATAGGGAGGGAAAATCTATAGTATTTTTTTTTGAATTAATATAGGGTGATTATAAGGTATTATCTATTATAAAGATTATTAATTATTTAATAATAAAAACTCAAATATTATTGTAATCTCTGATGCTCGAACCTGGACCTCTAGAGATAACAATTAACAACTAGATATAATATATCCTTAACAACAAGTAAAGGATGCATTTTTCTCTAAGGCTGTAATACCAGTGTATGAATCAGATTACAGTCTAATACTAAAGCAGGCTATATTATACTATATAAAAAAACTTTAAGAAACTAATATATTCGGCTGACGATTAATAAATCAGTAATTTAGTGACGATGATTATTTAATAAAGCTTTGATGTATTTTTAAAATGATATTGAAAGAGAAATCGGGGTGATTAATCATGTTTCGGAACGTATATATAGGAAATGACCTAGAGCCCAGCGCAGCATTAAGCTTGGTGAGCATAATAAGCGAAGGCAAAAGATGTAATGATAAGGTGATTGAATATTTACAAGGTAATGATTCCCTTTATGTCGAGATATTGGAAAGGCCCACGTGCTTTGAAAAAGGCAGAAAGAGCGGATGAGACACACATTTGGCAATGGCATCATCAAAACAAGACCCACTCCACATCAAATATCAATCTCTTTGGGAACTTGGGCCTATCCCACATTAATCTTTTTGTTTACATTTTTCATTCATGGATTAGTTCAAACTCCCCTTTCCCTAGTAATACTAATGCATGCATTCGGAGACTTACCATTGCCCTTCTATTATTTTGCCTTGTTTGTTAGGGATTATCGTATTGCCTTTAGTTGTCCAAGGCTTCCTAATAATTCCCCCATGGCCGGTCCAGTTTAGTAATATCATTTACTCATCATGTTGATGACATAATTATATTGTAGCATGACACTGAAACATGAATCGAGCTTGAGCTTGGCCTTGGCCCTCTCCTTCCCATGCACCATTACCGCTATCTCTCTCCTTTGCTCCCTTTGTAATCGATTCATTAATATAAAATTAAAAAAAATGATGGCTGCTAAGAGCTAAGACAATGATGGCATTGAATCCCAACTCACTAAAAATATATTTTATATTTTAAATGGTTGTCCATTGTTCCCGTATGTAATTTTATCAAATATAACTTAATGAATATCACAATGGGTACACTAGAAAATCTTATATAGCAGGAAACATGTGGCTGTTAATTTCAGATGTGTCCAGCTATAATTGAGGTTGAAGTAAAGTTGAAAACGTAATGGACTTTTAAAACACGTTTTATGGGACCAAGGGGACTTTGGACAAAATTTGTAAAATTATCTTTTTACAATTGTCAAAGATTACGATTTCACCTTCACAAAACATGAGAGATAATACATATTTACAGGGTGGAGGCAAGACAAAATGAGCAAAGTTTCACGTTTCACTCACTGACAAAATTGAGGGGAAAAGAAAAAGGGATGGCTTTAAAGAGGGTCTAGGGCTCCACAGGACACGATGCTCTTTTAAAGGGCTGCAGATGTGGGACAACATACATGCATGCATTGCAATTAACACCCATTCTCTATATATAAATTTAAACCCAAGTAAAAATATATATCAAACTAAAGCAAAACCAAAACATGAAGATTATTAAAATACAGGGACTAAAGCCATAATCAGTCCTTTTGCCTTGGTTTGGCACTTAGGCTACCACCGTTTGACGAGTGGATGATTTTAAAAGTTAACATAACATGGTTTATTTCTCCACCCTTTCTCTATCCGCACGTCATGCAAATCTCATTTGTCCACGTGGCATAATCCGGAACAGGTGGGTAGAACCGTTTTAGCTTGAAAGTGAATATCTAAGAAAGAGCAGTGGTTAGTTTTCTAGGGTTTCAGTTGGCTTTCAACTTCAACAACTAAGCTAGGGTTCGGTGTATTTCGTGTTTATATTTTCACCCATCAAATGATTTGAAGTTTGCATTTCTTAAACTAAACTTTAGATTTAAATTTATAGATAAACGAAATAGTGTTAAGAAATTTCGATACTTATGTATGTGTTCAATCTACCTTAACTCTAAGTATAATTAATCTCATGTCATATAATTATAATAAATGCTTTTTTTAGATCGAATACATACAACATATGGTTCAAACTTGATATTCTTTTGATTTTTCCCCATAGAGTTAATAAGTTCTCACTGAAGAAAAATATTGGACTTTTGGATGAAATTTTGAGTTTTAAAATTGCCTACCAATGTTTGCCACACGTTTGAGTTAAAGTCTACCCAACCCATCAAAACTGAAAACTAAAAATATGATTTAGATGTTTGAGTAAACTACACCCAAGATTGTTTAATTATGATTTTGATGATAAACATGTCACTCGATTAAATATTACTTCAAATATATTATTTTGTAGTCAAATATTTGACGGAATAGTGATATGACATGATATAATAATAGTTTTAGTTCCTAAAACTTAACCAAATTTATCAATTTGATCATACTTTGAAACAATTCAACAAATATAACCCTTCGTATTTGAATTTTTTTTTATCATTTCAACCTTTGTTCTTCTCATAAATTCTCTAAAAGATGTTAATTATTTTCCTAATATGATAATAATTTAACTTTACCTTATTGTTGCTTTATGACAAAATATAGTTATTCAACTACTACTTTGGTTCAATGTACTTATTTAGTTTGACGGCATTATTAAACAAATATTAAATTGATAAAATTTTTAAATATAAATGGTTATATTTATTGAATTTTTTCCCGAAATGTGATGAAATTAATAGAATTGATAAATTTTGAGAACTATAAATATAATCGTATCATATCATATCATATTAGTTACCCGATTCAATTTTAACAATAAAATGACATGTTTATACGAAATTTTAATTGACGTATTTGATAATAAACTCACAATTAAATGACTTTTAAGTAATTTGCCTTAAATGTTTTATGTATGGTTTAAACAAAATATAGTTCAAAATTCAAAATAATATTTATGTTAATGTTGTTCCTTTTTTTATATAATCTTCCAACAGGAGAAGGAAAAGAGGAAGTTTCCGATCTAATATTTTGATGTACACTTTGGTATTTTCCTCCAAAATCTAAATGTAATTTTTTATATGCTTCTCACGAACAAACAAAACCAAAGAGAAGTGACAATTTGGATGAAAGCAACTAACTCCATTTAATTCCAATATCTATATGTATAGGGGAAATAAATTCTTTTGCAAAGTATTATGTTTGTATGCTGTACTTTAATATGCTGTATTATCTTAGTACCAAGAAATGAAGTGAAATTTACCTCCCAATGAAAACAGACCACGTTGACTGACTCATAGGCATCCAGCCAATAACCCCAAGCGTGTTGATCACGCTACACGCATACGAGTGCCGATTGTTTAAATTTTCAAAATGAGAAATTAACCCTCCAAAATCGTAAAATCAGTGAATTTAAATTGGAAATAATAAAAAAGGGTGAGCTATGTGTAGGTTTAGTCACGACGATCGTCAACTTCCTTTCATTTAAATGTATCCCTGTTCAAGAAAAGGAAAATAAATAAATTATTCAAATATTTTTTGAATTAATATGTGACGCATACTTAAAATAAAACAATAATATATTAAAATAATCAATGAAATTATAAAAAATTGTATTTCATATAAAATATATTCATTTTATAGTTAAGGTAAATTACACTAATCATCATTGAGTTTTACTCTTTTTTTTTTTTTTACTTATTATACTTTTAATTTTTTTAATTTATTTATTAAACCTTATAAATTAATTTTTTTAATCACTCGATCGTTTTTCTCTAACAGCTAGATGATGTGATTTTTTTATTAATACATAATAATGATATATATTTTTATTAATATTTAATTATTAAGTTTAATAAAAAAAAAACTCTTAATCCCCCCACCCTCCCACTCCCATCCCACCCCCACAGCCTCCTCCTCTGGCTACCATCTTGATCGCCCCATGACCACCATCGTCCCAACCCAGCTGCCCTAAACCCCCTAAACTGTATCATCGCCATTAATATATAATGATGATATATATTAAAAGTACTACATTATTTATTTAGAATGATAATATATAAAACTGGGGTTAGCTGAAAGTGCACAGTGGGTTTAGTCCGCGAAGCATTCATTAAAAGCACAACCAATGTCATGAAATTCAGCGTTATTTATTTATGGATTTATTTATTAAAAAACAATTTTGGAACTCACCCCTCATACCCGCGCACTAAAGCAAGAATCCGTTGATTTAAATTAATATTTTAAATTAAGAAATCAATATGCAATAGGAAAGAGAAAAACCGACCAAATTATATAATCTATTTCACATTCAGATCAGATCATTCATCAGCCGCTCTTCCTTTTCCTCATCAAAGTTTCAATATTTATTCCGTTTACCTGTAAATAATAAAAACTCCAAGCTTTAGTGGTGGGGTGGTGGAAAGCAGGGACTTTGTGGTTGTATTTGGAAAGGAAAAAAAAGGTTAGAATACGAGGAACGGAGTAGAAAGGCAGAGAGTTGTTGAGACTCATTTGGATTCTATTTCAACCCAACAGTAAGCTATGTTGTAGAAAACATCAAAGAGAAAAAAGAGGGGGGAAATGCTGCAAGTGTTGCTTCCTTTTCCAGGGATCTAACTGTCCTTTTCTATTTTCATTTTTAATAAAGGGTGAGAAAGGTAGTAGCTTTCTAGCATATGCCACCTGGGAATTAATATAAGGGGGGAAGGGAGCATCCATAGACTGAGAGGTGAAAGGCACAAACAAAAGGGAAAACGATGCCGGAAACAAAGAAGAAGAATGGTGGCAATGAAGATTTCAAGAAGAAGGAGCGTCATATAGTCACATGGACTCGAGAGGTTTTTCTTCTTTTTCATATTCTTTGTTCTAGAGTTCGTATTATTTTGATGGGTTCTTATATGGGGGTTGTTGCAGGAAGATGATATCCTTCGTGAACAAATCAGTTTACATGGAACTGAAAAGTGAGTTTTTTTATTCATTTAAAGTGTTTTGATACATTTTCAATGCTGAATGAAAACTGAAGGGGTTTGTGTTTTTGAATCTCTGAATGCAGCTGGGCAATCATTGCCTCTAAATTCAAGGATAAAACAACAAGGCAGTGCAGAAGAAGGTTGGTGAAACCTTGATACTCAAACTCATGATCTTGTGTTTTGATCATTTAAACTCATATAATGTCTTTGAAAAATACAGATGGTACATATACTTGAATTCAGATTTCAAGAAAGGAGGATGGTCACCAGAGGAAGATATGCTTTTATGTGAGGTAATATTAATTTTGTGTGGTCTATTTTTCATTTAAGTTAATGGGGTCAGCTTGTTTTTTTTAAAAAATAAATAAAAAATTTCAAAAGCTGATTTATTGGGGAACTGTTACTATGATGGATCAGTTTTGCCAGGTCATTGCATGTTACTGGTATAGTAGGAGTTGAAATTTTCATCTAAGTAGATGACTTATGGTGATCTGCAGGCTCAGAAAGTTTTTGGCAATAGATGGACTGAAATAGCAAAGGTGGTTTCAGGCAGGTATACACATGTTTCAGGTTTTTTATTTTTCTTTTTCTTTTCATATAAGGGAGATGGGAGATATCAACTTGAGAGATTTTAACCACAAGTTCTAGAGATTGTTAACTACTTATATATCTTTCTTTATCTTTTTACTTTTGTTTTTACAAACAACGCACAGCTTCGGATTGCAGGAACTAACTGAGATAAGGTTTATGGAAAAAGTGATCATTTTCTGCAATCCTTCTGTAGTAGATGATCGGTTTTTATCGAATATATTATTAATGCAGAACGGATAATGCTGTTAAAAATCGATTCTCCACGCTATGCAAGAAGAGAGCCAAGTATGAAGCCTTACCAAAGGAGAATACTACATGTATAAACCCAAATAACAATCGAATTTTACTTCAAAATGGGATGAATGTAGATGGAACAGCAGACCCTACTGGTTCTGTTAAGAGAATGAGGTACCTTAAATATAGAAATGTCTGTACACGGTAATGACTTGATATTGTTCCACAAATTTAATGTCTTCTATTTTATCCAATTCAGGAGATCCCACATTTCAGATCTCACTGAAAACTGCAATTTTGGAGATAGATCACATGGAGTATCTGGAACAATGATGAATCAGCAGCTAAGACATCCCTTTGTAGTTTTGGGTCAAAATCTCCACAATGCTAACAGCGTCGTGGTGCAATCTCATGTAAATAATGATAAGGAGGTTTCTAATGATGGTAAATCACCTCAAGCCAACAATTCTTGGCATCGGCACCTGTGTTTCTCTTGTTAAGCCTGCAAATAGATGTTTCTGTATTTGTTTATCTTTTAGTAGTTTATCTAAAACTGTGCATACATTCTTCTATCAGTCGCTCTTCTCCTTTAAACTTCTTCAAAATATACACTTACATTCTCTTCCTCCATTATTGGTTAGCAGCTCAGAATAATAGAACTCAAGGAACATTTCTCAAAAAGGACGATCCAAAGATAAACGCTTTAATGCAGCAAGCGGAGCTACTCAGTTCGCTCGCATTGAAAGTTAACTCAGACAACACAGAAAAAAGTCTGGAAAATGCTTGGAAGGTGAGAAGTAATTTTGTTATTTTCTTTACGATTTTGTGTTATAAAATGGTAGCTCACAGTTGGTAAAGTGCTAAATCTTTAATATTTCGGGGATAACAGAATAACAGTCCAAACCATGCATTGTACTATGTCCCTAAGGCCTAAACTTTATCCTATGTTATATTCAGATTCTCCAAGACTTTTTGAATCAGAGTAAAGAAAATGACATCCTGAGATATACAATGTCTGATATTGACTTGCAACTAGAAGATTTCAAAGACTTGTTTGAGGGTTTAAGGAGTAGTAATGAGGGGAGTCAACCGTCTTGGAGGTAATAGAAAAATCAGTTAAAAGTTCAGATTTTGTCAGTTTTCGTACTAAACACCAACTGACAATTAATATGTTCTAGGCAACCTGATTTGTATAAGGCATCTCCAGCCAGCTCTGAATACAGCACAGGGTCGACACTGATGCCTCATCTGGCTGGTGAAGCCGGAGAAGAAACTCAAGCTAAGATAGATGCACTGCACCAGGATATACTGTCAAGTCCTATCCAAGAGCAGAATTGCGGGAACGAAGAGGAGAAAAGGACTCCTTCTGGAGCAAACACAAATCAAGGTAATGAAATTCGGTATCTGTTATAAGGCCTAGGAATACCTTGTTTATGATTATAAAGTGGATAAGGGTGTTTCTGATGAAATGTTCTATGTTACAGCAGTCGATATAATCCCATCATGTAACGACCAAACAAACAATATAGTTGCTTCTACCTCATTGGGCATAGAGTTCAGTTCCCCAGTCCAAGTCACCCCTCTTTTCAGATCTCTAGCAGCAGGAATACCCAGCCCAAATTTTTCAGAAAGTGTAAGTTGTTCTGAACTGTCGGTTCCACCAACCTTTGTGACTCTTCTTTTATCTTGAAGCATTCTTGTTCCACTCCAATGTCCGGCACATGTTGCCACATTTATTTTTGTTATAGGATTTTCCCGTTTGTTCTTCACTCAGAAATATTTGTAGTTACTGGTAGCTATCCCCACTTTTTCTGCATTTAACAAAGGAACCGACCACCAATTGAACATTGTGCATGTTCAAGGTATAATAGTATCAATAACTAATCATCAAAACTTAATTAATAGTCAGATGAGCTTTAATACTTCAAGTACACTTGATAGTTTCTATGTATTATATCCCATAAATGTTATCGACTCAAGACTAAGTGAGGCCAGGTCGAATCATGTTCATTGCCTAAATGGAATCTTACTTTCCTCTATCCACCTAGAAAAATTGTCTGGATGATAGTTTTTCTAAACACTGGAAAGGATCTTTCTAACCCGAACTTTTTATATAAGACTTTTTGGGATTTTATTCATGCCAAGTGGTAATACTGGTTCAGTGTCTTGCTTTAGGTTCTTACAATTCCATTTACTTGTAAATTTCCTCCTATTCATCCCTTATATTTTATATTCTTTGGCTGAGCATGGGAAGTTCAAAATAGAACTAATGCACTATTTTTTTGGGTACTGTTGTTTCCTTTTTTATATTTTAGCACAGAAATTCAAGCATACACACACATATAGTCACATTATCTCGAAACTTTAACACAAGACTGACCACTGTGTGTTTCCTTTTTTCAGGAAAGGAACTTCCTACTTAAGACCCTTGGAATGGAGTCCCCTTCTAATCCAGGAATCAATCTTTCACAACCGCCACCTTGCAAACGAGTCCTCCTCCATAGTCTATAAATAACCTCTTATCATCTCTTATAATGAAATCAACATCAGTCTATGGTCCGTATAGACTTATACCTCATAATTTGTTTCCTTGAGCAACATAGCTCATATTGAGTTTTCATTCATTTTTTCTTCTTTTTTTGTCCTAGGGTTGCAGTCCTTGCCTGGAATTTTACAATAAGGCATTTAACGGTCTGCATTCCTAACTCATTGGCTTAGAAATGTCTTGGTGCATTCTAGCTTCTCAGACACATCCAATAAGATGTCCTGAGATCCATTAATTTTTCCCCAACTAGGGATACTACCTTAATCACATTAAAACTAGTGTGTTGCTTGTTAGTGTGTCATTCATCTGTTTGCATCTCATCCGAGCGGTTTCGGGTATCTCTTAGTCCATTCTGATCCAGTTTTTTGTAATCTAGTACAGAACCTACTATATAAAGTCATTAGAGTGTATTATACAAAGGCAACTTGCCTAAATATGATAAAAGATAGAGAGGAAAAAGATGAAATAGTAAAGGAGGATCAACCATTGATTTATTTATAAATAACCTCTTATCATCTCTTATAATGAAATCAACATCAGTCTATGGTCCGTATAGACTTATACCTCATAATTTGTTTCCTTGAGCAACATAGCTCATATTGAGTTTTCATTCATTTTTTCTTCTTTTTTTGTCCTAGGGTTGCAGTCCTTGCCTGGAATTTTACAATAAGGCATTTAACGGTCTGCATTCCTAACTCATTGGCTTAGAAATGTCTTGGTGCATTCTAGCTTCTCAGACACATCCAATAAGATGTCCTGAGATCCATTAAATTTTTCCCCCAACTAGGGAGTACTACCTTAATACTCACATTAAAACTAGTGTGTGCTTGTTAGTGTGTCATTCATCTGTTTGCATCTCATCCGAGCGGTTTCGGGTATCTCTTAGTCCATTCTGATCCAGTTTTTTGTAATCTAGTACAGAACCTACTATATAAAGTCATTAGAGTGTAATTATACAAAGGCAACTTGCCTAAATATGATAAAAGATAGAGAGGAAAAAAGATGAAATAGTAAAGGAGGATCAACTACTTGATTTATTTCCTATTGTTGGGTGTGCATGTGGTATAGAATAAGTTATGTTGTGGTTTTCTATCCTTATTTCTAATGTAATGAAACTCATATGGTTTGAGTGAACGTGTGTTTTGGCTTTGGTGTGAATTAAGCTCTACTCTTTTTTCTCACAATTACCTGGATTAGAGGGCTAGACATCTCGTTGCATCTCAGAGTATGATGCAGCAGGTAGCAATGAAATCAGGAACTCGAACATAGTTGTTTTGCAAACATTTTTCATACGTTCCACTCACATCCAGGAACCAAAACTTTAAGAGTAGAAAGATGAAAGGAACATTAGGTAATAAGAATGCAAGGCAGCAAACTTACAGAGAAAGCAAAAGAAATTTCACGTCTAGTCTGTCAAGCAGGTAGAAGAAACAGCCCCTTTTTTTATCATCTCCTTCCTACATGAAACCATCGGATCTCAGTCGTGTTAGTGCGGATGATGTTTACAGAAAAGTGTTAAAACTGTGTAATTAAGGAAGAAGATGATGAAGGGGATGGCAGCTGTAGTGGTGGACAAGTGTAATTATTACCAAAGCAAAAGCGAAAAGCAGGGAATAAAATTAAACAGTAGAGGTAGGGAACCTCATAAAATAAAGGGAACCAATTGGCCATAAAGTTTCCTCATGTAAGGTGGCGTTTTGACTGTTTGATATGCAACTGCAACTCCTCCTGCCCTACTTAATCATTCATCAATTTTGAGATTCTAATTTCAATATTAAGAAGGGCAATAAACCTTTGTTTTCAAAATTTTTTTTGGATAAGTTTCAACTGTATTACCCAAGAAGCAGAAACTGCTCTTTGTTTTCAATTTACCTTAACAAAAGGTTAAACGTAGAAGTAAAAAAAAAAGCAATTACAGCTGGCTAACTTGTGCATTGATGGAACTAAAGCCTTGTTTAATAAACCTTGATATGATAAGTTGACAACTTAACTGATACTGATTACACGTTTTCTCAAATGAAAATCTATTCAAAATTACATCTAATCTGTAGTCTTAAAATTGGGATATCATTGAACCTTAGGTCTTTTTCTTCTTCTGCAACCTCTGCAGCCTTTTCCACTTGAGGTAGATTTGGTATGATAACCCTGAGAAAACCATAAGTACACAACCCCATTGCTTTGGGGAAAGTGGATTGCCACTCAGCAGAGAAGACACCACGATGCTGACAAATTTGCGAGTGGTGGTAATGGTTGTGTTAGCCAAGGAACCAAATCGACTTATGGTCAGGAAGATGAAATTTTGGCCGACTGCACCACAGAGGCAATAGAGGAGGATATCCCAAGCAGCTTCTGGGTGCTGCTTGCAAAACTGGACTGCCTCGAAGCCACTACCATGTGGCCAACCAAACATGTAAATCATGTTGTATATGGTACCCCATAGGTTCATTCCCAACATGATATCCCAAGCACTTGTCTTCGGATACCTAGGCAAAGGAAACCAAAAAGATTTAAGTGATACAAACTCAAATTAACAAGAGAAATTCGGTTCTAGTTAAAATATCAAGAGTTCTGGCATGCTATCAAATAGCAAACTCAAATTAACAAGAGAAAATCAGTTCTAATTAAAATATCTAGAATGTTGGCATGCCAGCAAATATCAAGAAATGAACTGAGGTTCGTTGAGTCAGCAAGCCGAGCTGTTTAGTACTCATGAATCTTGATTGTCAAAAATTCATTAATGTATATGTTGAATTCTGCGGGTTGCTGCAAACTCATTCTTTTGTTGCAATTATGTTCTAAATACTAGGAGTAATATTACCACAAACATACCTTGCAGTTATCGAATCCTGCGTAGCATTTGTGAATCCATCAAAAGCAAGGTTCAAAAAACAAAGTCCATATCCAAGGGGAGCATTGGGGTGTGCCAACTTGCTAATAGTTTTTGAGCTAGTCTGGAAAAAGATCAAAGTAAACACAAGAGCAACAGATGACTCAGAACTGGTGTTTCTTGGGGATGCTTAATGACATTTATCCTTGAATATGCCTACTGAATATGCAAGATGCCAATTAAATTCACAAAATAGAAGTAGCATAAATTTTTACAGCAACAATTATAACACATTTCTCACCTTCATAAGTGCAAAAGCAGAAACTCCTCCAGCAACAAGGAAAGTACACATATACTCGGGGAAAGTGTATCGAATACCATAAACTAGAGTGCCCATCAACATGACTGCATAAAAATACATTATTAGGCTAATTGCGGAAACATAACGTGGGAAAGAGTTTACATGATACCAAAAATATACCAATCAATGAAGACATTTGAGGGGGAAAAATGTTTATAGAAGATAGAAGTGTATATTACCAGGAATCATTTTTGAGGATTTGGCCAGAACCTGCAACAGAGACAAGCAACATTAAATAATATTAAACTGTCAACCTACAATAGCAGCAAAACAACATGGAAGTAAAATGAGAAATATAGAAGTGTAGAGAAACAAGGACATGCCTGAGCCGGGTAGCTGATGTACTTCAATGCTTCAATACCCATGGCTGGACCAATTGTATTCGTAATTCCAGCACTCCAATAGGTCCACCAAGGAGCACCACCACTGCTGCCACTGGACCAAAGCTTTATCACTGGATGCGAGGAACAAGAAAAAAATATTATTACCTATAATCCTCACAAATCAACGGTACACAAATAGCCAAATTTATCAAAAAGTACGGTGGAGGGAATGGAGAAGCTTACTTATGTATGACCAAACTAAGCAAACCATATTTTGCGCCAAGTTAAGAAAAGCAAGATGCTCAAACCTCTTCCCGTCTGAACCAAATCGCTTGGTGGACCTAAACTCAAAAAGGAAACAAATGTAATCAAATACCATAAACGAACACAAATTACAGTTACAAAAGCTACATTCTATTTCCCCAAGACCTTATTTTTTAAATTTATCATCATGAAAAAATTTGTCAAATTGAAAATTTGAAAATGATAACGCAAAATCTGTAAGAAGAATGAATTAGTACCATCTAAATGAACAGTTTCTATCGGCAAAAAAAAAGTACGTTCAAGTAAAATGAATTGGAAAAATCACAACAAATGCATTCAAATTCGACCAAATAACAGCCATTTCAAAACCATCCGTTAAATAACAACTTAGATCCAAGCTTTTTCTTCTTTGCATCTAAACCTACTTCCAAAGTAACTAATAAATTACAATTATTTTGGTATATTTAGAAGTAAAATGCACACCAAAGAAACTTTCAACAACAGATCAAACGAAGCAATAACTAATCGAAAACGTTCAATAGAAATCAAGCATAATAAAATATAAAAAATTATATAAAATTAAAACAATGCATACAGAGTTTCCTGTAGAAATCCCTGGTAAATATAGGCAGCCCAAATCCCGGCCACGCAAAATGCCAACAGTAGGACTCGCTGGAGTCCGGCGCCGTGAGCTTGCATTACGACGCCGTTCGAGAACCGTTTCTCCCCTTTCTTTACACTTGGCTTTCAATCGGTCCCAAAGTAGGAAAAAAGAGGAAAGAGATCTTTTGTGAAAAATACAAGCAAGAGTTGATTGATATTAACAGGTTCGGGAAGGAGCTCCAAGTTGCGTGGCTTATCCACGTGTATTTATTTGATTGGATGGGTGACTTCATGACTTTCCTTTGATTGGTTATTGAAACGCGGCCTTTTGCCGGGTCTCCAATCCCTCCGTCACGCTTCAACCCACCGTAACTGCCAAACGTATTCAAAAGCTCCCCTTTGACTTTGTAGTGGACCGACCCGAATTAGTAGAGCGGTGGGATCAGTAAGGGCCCAATTTTGTTCCTCGACAATCGAATACTTATTTATTGGGCTTGGGCTAATTTATATACATGTTAGATATTTAGATAACGTGTTTAAAATATATCAAAGATGTCATAAATATATTATTAATAAAATATTAAAACACTGTTTAAATATACATACTACCATTTACATATCAAATTAGTAAGAAATAAAATAAATTTCCTAAATTTACACCCTAAATAATCAATTATTTAGTTAAAAGTATACAACAAATGTATCGATATGAAGAAAGTTCATAATTTGAGGGGTGCTATTTGTGTAATTTAACCAGAATTAACGAATACATGAGCGATTGATGAGAACGATTATAGTTTAAAGAGTATTAATGCTCGATATTGTGCTTTTTGTTTTGAGGAGGATGAGTTTGGCGCAATTTTTAAATAGAGGAGAAAAAAAATTATAGATGTGTTTGAAATAATATTTAAATTAACAGCCCGAGAGGATCAAACTATCGTTTTATATTTAGTTAGAATGCGTTTTAACCTAACATGAGATTTGTGCATATGTTGACTCTGCCTCTCGGCTTTTATTAAAAAGAATGCTGTTTGTGGAGAGTTTATAGCTTTACACTATCCAAATGTTATGCGCCAGTTGGACGGTTATATGTTTTTTTAGTTTTAAAAGATGAAATAAATTAATTTTTTTTTAATTAACAAAGCGAACATTGTAAAAGAATATATGATCCTCTCAAATAAATATATCAATTTTTGTCATATCAGAAAGCGACCACCATCCCTCCGCTAATCAATCTTGCAACGCGGCTTTAAAATCCCCTAACCAGCATTCCATTCGCTTCTTTTCCTTTTTTGCTTTGTGGGCTTCTCTCACAACAAATTCAGTCTTAGTAATATCAAATTTCAAAGTGATGGATGAAGGCTTTTTCCCTCAGTTTATCTAACTGGATGGATGGTCAATTTCAAAGTGAAAAATTAGAGATGATTTTACTGGTAGCAATCACTTATCTGAATACAGAGTTTCCAGCCACAAACAATCGCTTTTGCGATTAATAAAATGCTTGTTAAACTTCTTAATACATAGAATCCTTCAAGAAAATAATTCCCAGCCGGACCTTGTACCAGGTCAAAACCTGAAATAGTCGTGCATATATTGTAATAAGCAGTTTAAACTACACACTACTGATTTACAAAACGCCATCTTTTGCAGCGTGATTCATGGATTAGCTCAGCACGTGGACTTGTTAATCCCCCATCCATGGCAGTGAGAGAAAGTGTTACACTTTTGACTTTAACTTTATAACAAGTTTATTTCTCAACCTTCTTTTTAGATCAAATAATAAAAAAATTAATTTCTTTTAAATAAAATCTTGAGTTTGAATATTGGGAATGAATTCAACGGTGTAAAAGAAATGATAAAGGAGAGATTTGTCAACACAACACATGATTATGGAACATATATAAATGATAAGGAAGCTCAAGGGCAGGAGAAATAATCAAAGAATGTTATTAAAGTTAAAAAAATTGATTCAAGTCTTCCCAATTCCAAACCTGCAGCCTTGCTTAAAAGCAAAATTAGATATTCCATTATCCCCAGATGGGCAGACTAAAGTCAAAGCTCACAGCATTCACGGTTTACTTCTTTATCTGCGTAGTAATAATGGTGACTCCAATCAATTTAAGCTGTGGTGTCGATTATTTTTCAAAATGATATTAATTTGATTTTTAATATAATTTGTTTACAAAATTAGTATGTCAAATGACACTCCTTTTTAAAGAGTGATTTCGTCCATAGATGATAGTAGAATAATTGACCATGATTCATAGAATCACATATAGAAGGTTAGAACATCGCTCCTAAAAAATGGTAGGGTCCAAAATGTGAATAAATAGAAAAGAGGTTTTGGTCAATTTTCATCAAATTATATTCTAAAGAGGATTTTCCTTTTTCAATATAGTTGAGTTGATAGAAAATAGTAAATCAGCCCTTTTTACTTTAATGTGAGCGGATCACTTGACCTTTGTTCATGTAATCCCTTTTTATTTGTGAGTATATTCAATTTCAAATTGTAGTTTATTTCCGTCAAATTTATCATCAATACATGTAATGATTATATTTATTTTAAATGCACGAATTTTTAAATGAATTGATAAAAAATAAAAATAATTAATTAATTAATAATTTTATATAATCGATCTGTCTCTACACATAACACAAGGTTTAGGCATGTGAGTGAGGGTGGGGACTGGGAAATGACTTTGGAATGTAGATGCCTTTTCTAGACCGCCTTTTGTTTCTAGTGGCCCCACACAAGAGGGATTGGCCCTCTTTCGTCACGTGATGTTACTTGCTTACCTAATTTTGACGTTATCTTTTGGCTTAATACCCAACTACCAAACTATATTATTTTTCTAGAATAGGTGTCTACAATATTTTTTAATCTATCTAGATGTCTAACGTTACAAACATTATTACTTTAGGTGTTCGAGCCGTCAACGACGTTAATTTTTTCATTAAGTAACACGTGTCATAATATGATAATTTTAAATTTTTATATAAAATTATAAATATATTTAAAAAAAGACACAAATTTTGAAATAACCAAAAACTTTGAAAGCCTTTATTTCATCCCCTAAACCCACGCTGACTACCCTTTTACCGTCGATGAAACTCCAACCAACTTCACCTCCCCGGTACCAAAACCCCTATGAAATCGTGATTGATCGACAGTTGATCGACGACGAATTGACGTTTTATACCCCACAAACCCTAAGATGAAAATCACAATCCCACGCGATTCCGACGGCCAATCGACGACAACTACGACGAAATATAACTAGGATGATGGCAGAGACTACATCGACGGTTGTGGTCGTGGCCAGAAAGGGCAGTGGCGGCAGGCTAGAGCTAGGATTTGGGGATTTGAGGCTTTTTTGTGATTTAAAAGAAATTAGGGTCTTTTTTATAAATATAATATTTTTTAATATTTTTATAAAAAATAAATTTCAAAATTATTGGATTTTGACATGTGTCACTTAACGAATAAAACTAACGGCCGTTAAATCCTGAGCACCTAAAGTGATCACGTTTAAACATCAGATGCCTAGATGAATCAAAAAATACTGTAGGCACCAATTTGAGTAAAAAAAAGTATAATTTGAGTACGTATTAAGCCTTACTTTTTCTTTGGGTAAATTTTTTCCCAATTCTATTTTATTAAATCCACACGAAAAATGCAATAAAGGAACACAACTCTCTCTATATGGTGTATGTGTATATATATAAAATAAACAATAATGATTTATGATATTATATCACTTATTAGTGTTTAAATCACCTTAATCATCTTATCAACAAGATAATAATTAAATCATTGTGATAATATAAAAGCAATTAATTAAAATAGTTTTAGATTTGAATAAAAATGAAAATGTTAATAAAACGACGTGGACCATTATTGAAACTTATTAGTGGAATGGAAGTGGTGCATTGGAAGCAAAGCAAGATGGATTGGATATATAGAACGTGCAAATATGCTTTAGAACATTTGGGTTTGCTTTCACATTTATATGGGAGGGTTTGCTTATTTACGTTATTAGGTTTTTCTATTTATATTTCCAACCAATTTAAATGAATGAACACAAGTTTTTACTTGGGTGTTGGAACCAGAAATGTTTGTTCCACTAGTTAAAGCTCCGTAAATGTCCGCACCAAATTCATATAAATAGTCCCATCCATCCAAATTTATTAAAACAAATGCATTTAATTGTTTATTTTATTATTGTTGATGTTGTTTGGGTATTTAGTTAATAAATTAACATACCGTCTTATTTAAAAATACATAAAATATTTATACAGAGAATAATTGAGTGATAAAGAAATAAAATTTTATTAATTACATAAACAAACAAGATGGTAAACAAAAGAAATTTGTACAGCGTGAATCTTTAATATAAGAAATATAATCCTATACAAATAATTTATATAAGTAAAGTTGATTTGAAAATTCAATGAAGCGAGAAAAGTAAAATCATAAAGAGTTATTTGGGGTTGACTCGTAAAGACATAAAAAAGAAGGTGGAGTCTCAAAGGAGAAATCAGTAATCTCACAAAAGAAGGGACATGGCCAAGTCCTCCCCTATTGGCCCTTTCCACGCGGTTTCTTCCAAAATCCAAATCCTCCCCCCAATAAAATACACCCATGCTCCACTCTCTTCTCTTCACCTGAGCCTCTTCTCTGTTTCTTCATCTCTTTGTTGTTTCCTTCTCTTCAATTTATCAAAACTTTGCACCTTCACATACTAAAACAACTCAAAGCTCCACGTAAGAGATACAAATTCCAATATGAAGAGAGCCATTTTTTCAGTTTCCTTTCTTCTTGAGGACCTCATAACTTACCATGACTTGTTGAAGTGTTACCTCCTATAAAATGAAATAGGAATAATATATTTCTTACTTTGGTGAAGAATTATCTTTTCTATAATGGGCAACTGCTTATTTTCCTCTACTAGAGTGGATTCCAGCCAAAGCCCCCAGGCAACTTCCGGTAACCATTTGTTTCCTTTAAACGGGTATTTGTTGTTTTGGTGTGTTATTATTATTTTTACTGAAGATTTTGGGATGTCTTTATGGCTATGAAGGTTTAACTTTTTCGGTTGGATTTGACTTTTTTTTTGGATTTCTTTTAGTGTTTATTTTGTAAAAGCTTATTGCTAATGATTACATTCATTTTATCCTTTCTGTTACTGTTGTCAACGGGTTTAGTTGTGGTTCAAGGTATAGAGAGCTGCTCAAAGCAAGATTCTTGGGACTGTTCTTCAGTTTGAGTATGAAGAATTGTCGGTGAATAGATGTAGTTGCCTGAAACGGTGTTCCTTTTTTTTAAGTAAAGTTTTAACGAGTTTCAAGGGGAAAAAATGCAAACTATAAGAAATTGTAAGCTTGACTGGAAAATTCTTTGTTTTAATATTTTGAGTGTCACGTGAACATGAATATGCTGGCTGGGTTCTTGTAGTTGTAGGACAAAATATTCTACAAAATTTTGTTTTGAAGGAAATACAAAAAGTGCTCTCACCTATGCAAAATCTGTGTTTTTTTATCTTATAAGTGTTGCTGTATTCTTAAACTGGGATATATTTGTCAAACTTCTATTGAAATAAGTTTATCTGGGTAACTAGGTCAATTCTGATTTCCACATCACCGTGTATTTCAGGATTTCATCATAAGCTAGATGTAAAAGAAGTTTACTTCTAAATACATGCTGCATAGATGCAAATATATGCCGAGTTAGGTGGTTTTGTGATGCTAAATATTCTCATGGAAGCAAACCAGATGTTAAATGACTTTTAGTTTGAATTTCTTTTGCATCTGATATATCGTGTTCTCTATTTAATAATGGGAGCTGAAGAATTTGTTTTCTCTTTGCAGCTTCTGGGAGCTCAAGAGTTTCCAGCAAAACTAGTCGTTCTTCAGCTCCTTCAAGCTTAACCATCCCATCTTTCAGTGATTCAAGCAGTTCAGGATATCTTCCAACACCAAGGACTGAAGGGGAAATATTGTCATCCCCCAATTTGAAACCTTTCTCATTCAGTGACTTGAAGAGTGCCACCAGAAACTTTCGTCCTGACAGTCTTCTTGGGGAAGGCGGTTTTGGTTATGTTTTTAAAGGATGGATTGATGAAAGCACATTATCTGCTACAAAGCCTGGATCAGGGACGGTTGTTGCTGTCAAGAAGCTCAAACCTGAAGGTTTTCAAGGTCACAAAGAGTGGTTGGTAGGTTTCATTCCCCCCATTCACTTTACCTGTGTGTGTGTGTATGCCCTGTTTGCTAATAGTCAGTTCATTACTTGATTTCAGACTGAAGTTGATTATCTTGGTCAACTTCATCATCCAAATCTGGTTAAGTTGATTGGCTATTGCTCAGAGGGTGAAAACCGACTTTTAGTCTATGAGTTCATGCCGAAAGGAAGCTTAGAGAATCATCTTTTTAGAAGTAAGTATCACTTCTTATAGACAACTGAACGAGAGAACTATCGTTAATGTCGAACTACAAGTATTACCTTTGATGCTAATCATGATATGTCTTGTTTTCCAGGAGGGCCGCAGCCACTTTCTTGGGCAGTGAGGCTTAAGGTCGCAATAGGTGCTGCTAGAGGGCTCTCGTTCCTTCATGATTTAAAATCCCAAGTCATTTATCGCGATTTTAAAGCTTCTAATATATTACTAGATGGGGTATGCTGAGTAAAGAAAAATAATTATTCTGTGCCTATGTTTAAAATTTTTTGATAAATTTTATACACGACTCTGATGGCAATAATCGATTGCATGCAGGATTTCAATGCAAAACTTTCTGATTTTGGATTGGCCAAGGCAGGGCCTACTGGTGATAGGACTCATGTGTCAACTCAGGTCATGGGTACACACGGCTATGCAGCACCTGAATATGTTGCTACAGGTATGAGGTTTTTCGAAATCCCATAGTACTACATGCTGTTTCCGCAGGCTTCTTCTAAGTTCATAGTATCTTAATTTACCATCAGAAATATTTGTTGCTGAAAAAGAAACTGTGATGGTATCTAAGAGAGCAAGCAGCATATGGTATGTTTGTCTTTTATATGCAGTGCCTTGGGTCCAAAACTAGGAATATTCAACCAAAGCTACCATTTTAATGGGTTCTATCTTTCACATGCAAACTGCTTGCCTGAAAAAAATGTGGGCACTTATCTAAATTATCTTTGCATGAGATGGTTCCTGATGAAGCTTGCATATTATATAGTCAGAAGTTACATGTAATGAAGCTTCCATTGTTGAACAGGTCGATTGACAACTAAGAGTGATGTATACAGCTTTGGAGTTGTGCTGCTTGAACTATTGTCCGGACGACGTGCAGTGGATAAAACAAAAGTTGGCGTGGAACAGAATCTTGTAGACTGGGCGAAACCTTATTTGGGTGACAAAAGAAAATTATTTCGAATCATGGACACCAGGTTGGGGGGGCAATACCCCCAGAAAAACGCTTATACAGCTGCTACCCTTGCTTTACAATGTCTAAGTTTTGAAGCCAAACTCAGGCCTAAAATGTCAGAAGTTTTGGTAGCACTGGAGCAGCTCGAAGCCACCAAAACTGCCTCCAAATACAATCAATCAGATCAGAAATCAATTCTACTTCCTGTTCAGAAATCTCCAATGAGACAGGTTCATTCACCTATGCATCTAAAAACCGGTGGATCTCCATTACCATCTCATAAGTCATCCGCATGAACACATTGATTCCACTTGTAAATTTCCTATGCGTATGCATATCTTTTTTAGTTGCTTGTAAAATGTAATTTTGCATTTCATGTGACAAATTAGCATAGCCTTTGTTTCATGAGGATTACAGTTTCTCATTGTGATAGTCAGCTTCTCTCATTGGTATAATAGTGCATTCACTTCCACCGATGCATATTAATATTAAACTTATTCCATGCTGTGGATTGTGATGCAACTGAGAATTTGTTTTTATGAATTATGGGGTTGGCGCAGTATGTTAATCATATTGTAAAATATGAAGAAAGTTCTTAGCTTGCTTATAAGATCACGGATTAGGATAATATTTGTGAAACAAACTAATCATAATTTGTGGATCAGAAATACTCCTTTGCTGAGGAATATGACCAAAAGAAACTTACATAGTTGAGCACTCACTTTTATATGTGTGCCCTTCGGTAGTACTTGGATAGTCCAAGTGTGTTCAGATTGCTGAGTAACATATCCTGCTCCAATTGCTCTAGACTTGCTAGTACTTCACCCATTGTGGGTCGATTCTTAGGGTCTGAGCTAAGGCATCGGCAGATTATTGAAGCAAACTTCTGTGCTTCATCCATATCGATGTTCCATACTATTTTCTTGTCAATGATTTTACGCAGCTCCATGTGACTACTTAAATGTGGTTTAGCCCATACTGCGAGATCCCTCTCGGAAGTGTCTCTACTTCTCTTGACTGCAACACAGCCAGAGAATAGTTCTAGGAGTACTACTCCGAAACTGTATACATCAGTTTTTACAGTCAAATGCCCTGTGAAATTGTTCAAGAAATTTAGCCCATGATGAGGGGTGCCAAACCTATATACCAAAGTTTCTACGGCACAGAATGATAAGCTGAAGCATATACCTGTTGTAAAGTATTCGGGGGCAATGTATCCTCTCGTTCCAATGACCCCTGAACTAACATGTGATTGGTCTTCTAAGGGTCCATACCTAGCCAGTCCGAAGTCTGATAGTTCTGGATTGAATTCCTGCAACATGACGCTCAGCTTAATGATTGCTTTGTGCAGCGAGGAATGATGGAAACATCGTGAGGTAAATGTTAGATATGCATCTGTGTAAGTCAGACGCATTAAAAATAAGTATCATGGAAGGGAAACTGACTGCATCAAGAAGGACATTGGACGCTTTGAGGTCCCGATGAATGACTGGCCTTGCACAACTGTGAAGGTAGTCTACTGCCCTTGCTATTCCAATAGCTATTTTGATTCTTCTACTCCAGTTTAGCTCTGTATCATTCTCTGCCATTTACAGCTCGTTAGTTCCATGATTGTATCAACCATTTTTCTCTGGTCATATTAAGGTATTGAGCTCTACCTCTCAAGAGATGGGTATCCAAGCTTCCCCTACACATGTACTCATAAACCACAATCCTATGGTCTCTCTCATTGCAATAGCCCAGAAGTTTCACCACATTTGGATGATTTAATGTCTTTAGAAACGTCAATTCATTCTGAAATCAACAAAACACATTCCTCTCAGATATAGTGAAAGTGAAGGTGGATATCTGGATCAGAACCAAACCTGCCATTCTTTGTCGCTCTGTACCCCTCTTCTTCCGAGCACCTTGATAGCGACCGCCTTGCCAGTGTCAGGCTTTGCCGCACTCATACTGTGTGGATTTATATATCCTATATACACTTTTCCAAAACCGCCTTCACCGATTATGTTTTCGTCACTGAATTTATGGGTGGCAGCCCTCAAGACGCTGTAATAAAAGCTTTTGATGTTCCGGCCAGGAACCCATACAAGTTTTTTCACCCTTGAAACTGGCCAATCTCTTGGAGTCGTTGGGGAACCATGTCCTTTGCTCTTCTTTCGATTTTCTAGAAAGGAAATAGAAAACTAGAAAATAATCTTAGAAAAGGAACTCTATTTTCACACCGTATTGGGGACTCGAGTTGTTTTCGTACCTTTACGTGAATGTGAAGAAACATCCTTGTTTCTCTCCTGGCGTGTTGCACTGCGTTGTTCATCTTTACAATACTTTGCTGGATCATGAATGAAAAACAACAGGATGGGATCATTCATGGTTAAGACAACAAGCAATGGGTGATCAATAAAGAAGTGATTTACATTTAGAAGATTGCGAAGGACCAGATGAAGTTTGAATTAGTGAAGTAGACATCTTCCGGGAACGTGAACTTTTAACTGCATCATCTCCTACAAAACATAGTTTTCATATGCGAAACATCATGCCAAAATGAAGTACAAAACATATGTTCATATGAAGAAAGATTCATGTCCAAATATATCAAACATATTTTCATGGAAGTTTGACAGCAAACCAGTAGGAGGGCGAGCAGGTTGAGGCTGAGGTTGGTTGGGGTTATGAGATTTCTTTCTAAAACAATTGCCCATTATCACCCCACTGATGAACCTCAACTCAGAAACAACCCTTCCTTGAACAACATTGGAAACAGCAGAGACTTTGTAATGTAATCATAGTGCCTAGTTAAAGCTGGTTTGCCGAAGCAAACTATGAAGCATAATCTTAGTAATTATATATATATGTTTCAAGTGATTTAATTTTAATTAAAACAATAAAACAAAATTTAGCGATAATATCAATGCTTTGGAAAATTTGAGGATCATATATATTCTTTTCAACCAGGTTAAAAAAACACAAAGTTATTAATAATTTATTTATTGGAAACTTATAAGTAAAAAGAATATTCATTAAAATGTAAAAAAATAATTAATATTTTATTAACTGTAGAGGTTTAGTTTTTTTGTAGGCTTTATTCCCTTTAATCTTCTTACAAGATTTACTAGTGATAAATTCTGTCGGAACATACTAGTCATAACCTAATAGATACCCAATAGGAATATTTATAAGTTAGTCCTAACAAATCAAATTTTCTATTCTTAAACCGCCATTGTTTCTTCTTATAAATATCCATAGGATTAGGAGAGGAGAATCCGAAAAATATGAGTCAGACTTAGTTACTTGCCTCTCAAGTTTGACTTCCGAGTTTAGTATCTTTCACCGCCGTGTGTTTTACAATTTGGGATCATCCCAGAATCTCAACTTGTTTCAATGGCGTTTGAGTTGGTGGAATTAACTATCCAGTTCCGTCTGTCATACTACTACCATGATTGTTTTCGCTCGACCCAGCAGTTTTTACTTTTGATTTCAACACTCTTGAGAAACGAGAGGCCAAACTCTTCATCCTTTCTTTTGCAGTCTCCAACTCGACATAGACACTGATAATTATCATTGGCTTATTCCTGATATTAGTGAAAGTGGATCAAGAATGTGGAAAAGGGCGTTTAATGAAGGATATAATTGCAAAGTATTGCTTTTGATATCACGGGTAGAAGCATGCGTCTTTGAACACGGTTTTGATTTGTTGTATTCGGATAACAATGACATGATTCCAGCTGCAGAATCATCAATTACAGAGTTTTAAAGAAGTTAGGGTAGAAGCCGAAGCCGAAGAAAAAGATCGTGTTATATGTTTGGAGATTGGAACTGATGCTTTTTCGATGCCTTGTGAGGATATTTTTCATGGTGATTGCATTGAACAGTGGCTGCCATTATTGCCCAATCTGCCGGTTCAGAATGCCAACATATTAGATAGAGATATCAACTCCGAGTATTTTCTTTTTTTCCGTTTGATTTGTTTCTTATTGAAGCTAAACCCTATTCACGTTATTGGATTGCTTTTATAAATGGATTTAAAAGAGTTTAGCAATATTTCTAGAGAAATTGGTGGTAATGTTCATCATGAATGTTGGTGATGCAAAGATGGTTAATATAGCATATACCTCTTGTAAAGTATTGGGGACCAAAGCATCCTCGTACTGACATGCGGTTGATATTCTAGTGGACCAAAGAAGTAGTTCATATAGCTATGAATTGTGATGCAACCTAGCATTTATCCACGTGGTTAATGAATTATGGGGTTGATGCATGATGTTAATCATATTGTAAACTGTGAACAGAGTTCTTAGCTTGCATATAACATCTTGAGTACTTATGATAACCTTCAAGAAAAAAGCTAATCATAATTTAGTGGACCATAGTTACTACTTTTGTTGAGGAATATGACCAAAAAGAAATTGAGCTCTCTCTTACTTGTTTGTTAAGGTGAGTGTCCACTTGTACTGTATCTTTCTGCAATTTCTCTAGACTTGCTAGTAATCCACCGGTCCGTCCCATTGTGCACTTGTTACCGGTATAGATGTTCCCTGCTATTTTCTCGTGAATGTGTTATCCAGCTCCATGTGATTGCTTAGATGTGGTCTAGCCCATACTGCAAGATCCCTCTTGGTACCATCGATCGCTACTTCTCTTGGCCAGAGAATATATCTACAGGTACTACTGCAAAACCGTATACATCAGTTTTTACAGTCGAATACCCTCTCGTTCCAAGGACACTTGAGATATAAAAAAGATTTTCCTTTATTGGAAAAATTATTCCTCCTTTCAAATAACAACGGTAGGCATAACCTAGAGAGCCTATGGTTGCAAAACTTTCTATTAAACACTCTTCAACTACTATAAAACAAGAAAACTTCACTTGTAAGTAATCCATAGTTTCGGAAGAGTATTTTCAAAATATCTGCTCTTCTTCTAGCTTCCTTGTCATGATCGGCTCATGTGAAAACATGGTTTAAACTATTCTGGGAGGTACTTGAGATTATTTTCAGTATTGCTGATTGTTTGGCTTGATTCATGCGAGACAAAAGATGGTCGGATAATTCCCATGGAAAAAATTAATGTAGACGCAATAAAAGGCCAGATGGATCCTTGGGAAAGATTTGTAGCCTGTAAGCCAAAAGTTGCATAAATTATGGCGATATATACTCTTATTCTCTATCCAGCATCTTCTTCGCCACCACCCTATAGAATCTAAGATTCTGTTAATTGAAATCTATAGCATTCACAATGAACAATGGCATTTATTGTCATCTCAAAAACATACATACAACTGCTGATTCAACATAGCTTGGACGATTAATAGCAGATACATCGAATGGCTATGCATATAAAACATTCTGAGCTATAACAATGGTACAAGTATGGGAAAGGTGTGGGGGAGAACTCAGTTCAATAATATTCTCTAACTCATCCCACAAACGCCGACTAGATTCAGTTTCAACTTCACACGTGGGTTTTGAACCATACTTGCATGGCCAATTGCACATATAGAACCTTCAGTTATAAATAAGTAGGTTAAGGTTTGTATTCCTTGATCATATATCTCACAACAAACAAGTAAAGAGTCAACTGTCCTCTGGAGTTCCCTCGATCACTTCACTGGGGCTATGGGTTGGACCTCCCTACTCAAGTGTTTGGGGTTACTCTGGGTGGCACGATTAGAAAGATGAACATACAAAGCCGGCCGTTGCTATAAAGACATGTTGGTGGATATATAATACTCTTTCTTCAACTCTACACGTTTTCTTTGTTCTAAGCCATGCATTACTCTTTTTTTTTTTATCCGACTGTCAATGGAGTTTCGTGGAACTTTAAAGGGTGTGGGAAAATGCCATGCCATTTGTTTGGACACTTACGGTACCATTTTTTTTTCCATTGATCAGGATGTGTACCATACCAATGACCTAGTTCAAAGCCAACTTCGAGGTCATATGATGTTACAGCGGCCGATGGCATCCTTTTAGCAGGGTCCGGGCCCCTAATGGACCCAACACACTTGCTCAGGAAATAAACCATGGACATATAGCACTGATCAGTAAAGGTGAATACAAGAGCCTCAAAATGTGGATCTCAGGTCCCATTTTCAACATTATGATCTCATTCGAGGTGCCACAACATCCTCTGATGTTATAACATTTACTGACGTACCCACACGATAATTGAGTTACTGTCATGGGCTACATTAAACCTTACAGAATCAACTTTCAATAACAGAAAATACTTCAAGATCTCTGAGAGCCAGCTTGGAAAATCAGCACACTATTGATATTAAATAGTACAAAGGGATGAAAAAGGGGTCAAAAGAATTATACATACAAACACAAAAGAACCAAAACAAACCAAATAACCAACGGTAAAATCCAAAAAGACTTATCCATCTACACATAAAGGAACTTCTTTGGGAAAGGAAACTTAAAGATACACCAAGCAACAAAAGTTTTGATGATTAATTTCTGATTCAACAACCAGACACCAGAAGTTTAAAACACATAACCGAAGTTCTATTAAGTTGCATCAGTGCCCAAACTCCGTGAGAACTTCAATGAAACAACTCCTAATGCAAAAATTACCTCCTCCACTGAGCTCTGACCACCTTATCTGAAATTTCCAAGTCAACAATAATGCATAATCATTATGCAAAAGCAGCAGATAGGCAGAGAACCTTTCAATTGAATATGAGAAAATAATATTGATAAAGATTCATAAAGCAAAGATAATGACTATCTAAGTTGGATACCATCCTCAAAGTGAAACTTGCATGCTAATTATGACATAGAGCAACCACATAAGAGCAAGTTTAACTAAACATGTAGATATGAATTTATGTAGACCAGTGGGAGTCAATTTCCATATCCTTAAAGAACGGGGATAAACTAAGCAGTGTATCATAAGTAATGCGGACTGATATAGCAAAACAAAAACACAAGCATAAGGCCATAAAACATCCGACGTAAAATTGTGCTTACCATTAGCATCTTTAGAGGATGATTCAGATTTGTCATTGAGGATAGAAACTTTACCAGCTACTCGGACTCTTGTTTGACCATGTGAGGACAGTGAACTTGTGTTACTATTGGTTGAAGACGGCAGAGAATATCGCCTGTTTAATCCATCTTTCTCAACAACCTCATGGGTGATCCTTGGGGAGCCTTGACCCCCTAGTCTAGCTTTCACAGATTCAGTTGGTGCCATATAACTGGGAATTTTTGGATTGTTATTAAACCCATTTGCCTGATTATCAATTTTTGTGGGTAAAGAAGCTCTTCTTTGGTTTGCTTTTAAGCTTTCATCACTGACCTGCTCATCCTTGGAGCTTAATTCCTCTGTCACTGGTATGTGCTCAATTTTACCATTGTTTTCGGCAGGTGGCAGATCAACTGCTGGACAGACGTTAGGCTCATCAAGAGAAGCATCTTCCGAGGAAACTTTTAAATCAACCTCAAGATTTGACATTTTTTATAGTGTTGCAGGTACACCTCTCATTTTCTCAGTAGATTCCTGTTCTGAAAAATTAGGGTCATTAGAACTAGAAGGTTTTTTCAGAGTCTTCTTTGTTTTGTCAATAACATTAGATTTATCAGAGACCTCCTTTGAAGAGTGAGAAAGCTTTCTTAAATTGCGCTTAACCCTCTCAAGCTCATTTTGTGGATGTTCCCTAACTGAATCAGCTGCTGAGTTGCCAGAAACTCTCCTAAGACCTTGTTTGTTTTTCTCATACCCCGAGATAGAATGATTAGATCCACTGACAACTTTTCCATTGGACAGTTTCTGAACACTGCACTTAGTCTATCCACTCCTAATTGGTTTTGATGAGGATTCCCAAAAACGTGGCTTTGTCCATCGTTGAAGCCACTGCCAGGATGAGTTAGGTTCCTCTGGACCATACTGAAGACCTAGAGGTAATACGGCAGTTAGGAACATGAAACACGTCGTCCCAAGGCTAAACATCATGAACATTCTATCAGCATTCAGCACAGTTCTCATTTACATGGCAAGCAGAATCCAATAGTAGTACGAGAAAGTAAACCATACCTTTTGAACAAATACATTATTTGATAAATTCTTCACCTTAGAAGATGCATTCACTTTGACAGAGTCCAACCTTTTAGAACCCTGTTTAAAAAATAAATAATAGCTAGCTTAGAAGCATGTTATGTGTAATTAGCTACTCAAAAACCTACATAATGAAACAAAAGGGAGGTATAGTTTGATTTCCAGATAAGCATCCGTAAACAAAATCATCCTTAATTATTATTGCGAGGTTGCTATATATGTGCCCATGTTAATATTGATACAGTCACAAAAATACAATTTTCTCATAGACCTTTTACATCAACAAATATAACTAGGGCGTAGAATTGGTGTTTACAGTTTTTATCAGGACAGCAACAAGAGACAAGCCATCATCCATTTGTCAGTAAGAAAAATCACCTGAGGCAGTCTTAGATGTTTTTCCACGGCAATATCTGAACATCTGACCTTTCGGCCACGACCAAGCGCTTGCAACTTTACAATTCCCCATGTACAGCATAAACTAGCAACAGCTTGTCTTCTAACCAACCGACCACGAATAAGTGCTTGCAGCCTTATAATGCCCTTGAGAGTTCGAAATGCCCGGCGAGCCTTCCAACATATGATATTTTCATCAATGAAACTATATGATTTTGAGGAGGATATAATCCTAATATAAGGGCATGCAAAAGTTGACAGCAGATTCTATACTTCTATCACATTTTATTGAAATCCCATAATTACCATATTTGACTTCAAATTTGTATAAATACTACAAATCTGTAGGTGGTTGATTATTTATAGATTGAAATATCTCTAAACTAGAATATGTTTGTGTGAAAATGATAATATATTAATCTGAGAAACTAAGTTCAGTCAAATCAGTGGTTGACTACCCAAGTTACTGTAAATTGTAATAAATGCCCAAAGAAATTTTGATTCACTTACATTTCCTATACTCATTGTTTTGGCAACATCAAGGGGCTAAGTTTAAAACATACGCACACTAAGAAAGTATGAAATAAATATAAAACATAAAGGCAGCAGCCAACCCTAGAGTTTGACATACCATGAGAGAAGTACGAATCAGTTACATCTCATTGAATCCTTGCATATATCCGAAACTTCAAATAATAAACAAAAAATCACCAGCAACAACATAAGACATGATGCAGATAAAGAAAACTCCAATAGTACCACCAAAATGTCAACTCAAGCAAAATAAGCAGAACAATGACGGTGCACTCAAGTTACTGCCCATAATAGTCAGCAGAATATTCACACAGCTGAATGAAGACTATAGCAGGAAAAGGCTTAGGAATTTCATTACTCTGCATTACCCTTAAGTACAACAGTAAGTTTTAAAGGGAGAGTAGCTACCAGGTAACCTCTGAAAGCAGCCTGTACTGTCGCAGCAGCTTGGTCAAGCCTAATCTTATCATGATTTACAGGGTTACCAAAGTCATCAGCCGTGGCATCACTTCCATCCGCTGTTGGAGATGGAATATTTACCCCATCATTTGGCAATTGGGAAGGTATACCCTTCTCAGACTCCACCGCGTTCCAAGCACTGCTCACTGGAATAGGTGCTGAAATTGATGGAGGGTCCACTGATAGGTCAGGCACAACTACCTTGGAAGAAACCAAAACCTGGCCTTTATTTCCACAATTCTGCACATAACAACAATTACAATATACAGACATTTCCAATCTTCAAGTGCTAACTACTATTAGAAGATAATCAGTCCTTTCTTACCAGCTTCTCTCTTCCTTTTGAGATATTGGACTTTGAAGATTTCTTCCCCAGAAGCAAGGTCTTGATCCATCTTGCTGGAGATTTTCCCATTTCAGTTGAACCTAAAATAATGACAAGTTTCTAAATCTGGAAATCTGAGAAAGTCATTCCAAACCAAAATCTCAGTACTTATTATGTTAGCATTAAACTAAATAATAATAAAAAAGTAACATCTTTAAAAACAACCAATCATTCTGAATATCTTTAGTTTTGCAGCTAATGGCGGTCAAAGTGTTACTACACTACATAATCTATAGCTCTTAAGTTACCATAAAAGACGAAACAATAATTCAATCATAAAAACACAAAATGATATGGAACTGGATAGCAACTGAACCAGTAGAACCTACACAAGCAAAATAAAACAATCTTAAAAGTAGAAACCCCATGCACACAAATGTAGCACTGACGGTCGTACCAGAGAACGATTCCTCCAACAAAAGACTCTTCAGCAAAATTTTCTCTTTTATGTGTGTGTAAGAGAGGTGAACTCAAAATTAATTATTTAATAAATGCTATGTGCTAAGAAAGAGATGAAAATGGCCTGCAATAAATAAACCACAAGACTGTAAATATTTGAGTAATGTGGTCCACAAAATACCGACGTTTGAGCTTTAAATGGGCCTAAAAAGTGGGCCCTTCCCATTTTAATTCAACATTCTTAATAATAAATTAACTCTACCATTTAAGTGTATAGTGAGATAACACGTTTGAATTTTTATATTACAAATGAAAATAATCATATTAATAAGATTACTTTCATAATAGAAGTTTAAATTCTATAATATTTGATCCGAATTAATCGACTAATAAATTAAATATTAATGATTAAAAATAATAATAATAGGTAACCTTATCTAGATCAGCCCATTTTGAATTTTAAAACGAATTATGTAATTTTAATAGAATAAACAAACATGTATAGAAACATTATGAATATTTTCTAAAATAAGTTTAATTATATATATTCTTTATAAATAATATTTTATTTTTTTTATAATGAACAAAGAATAGATTTTGAGTTCTATGTAAAAAGATCTATACATTTAACCACTTAAACAATAAGACTTGTCAGTCTAGTCTATCTTTTTAATCATTGTTTAATATTTTATATTTTAATAATAAAGTTATACGGAATATAAAGATTCTTTCAAAAAAAAAGTATTGGAATTTAATGCTAAAATAAATATTAGCTAGTTTAAGACAAGTGGTGGGGGTAATTGACAAAGAGTAGACAAGTGGTGGGGTCATTGACAAAGAGTTGTGAATTTTGTTTAGGTACTAAATAAGGGTAGTTACTAATGCCTAATGGGATTATTTTTTTCATGGGACTAAAATAACAAGTTTTTAGTTGGTTGATTGGTTCTATTACTTATTTTTTAATGATATTATATAATTTTTTTTAAAAAAAATATTAAATTCAGTTTCTTCATCTCTCTAGGGGATTACTTTTAATGTAGGGTATAGATTTGCACATAAAAATAAGATATTCTTGATGAATAACATTACCAATTTTTACATTTAATATAATCAAGTACAAAAGTGACGGCTGTGGAACAGCTAAGTGAGATTTGACAAATAAAATCAAGTATAATCAACAAAGTAATCATGTTGGACTAGCCCACACGTCGCATTGCAAGCTAAGTTGCATTATTAATGGTCTTTGAAAACACCATTCACTCTCATAAAACCAACATAATAATGTAAACAGAGTTTGCAACACATCTTATGTGTCAATGTTATTCAGACTATTTTCAATGTTCCATAGAACCAACCTCTGAGATATCAATCAGCTGCTCGACAATCTCACATACTCCGATACTCTTTTGCTTCTTCTTTTACTATGGAACCAACACATAAGCTAATCAGCGGTCCAACTCTGCTCCACAATCTCACGCACTCTCCTGTTGTATTCACGCTTGTTCTCACTGAACATTCGGGCGGCTTCTGAGTTTGCAGGAGAATTTGGATTTGGATCACATAGCAACGACTGCATACACAAGAAAATCATAGTGGCTTCAAAACACAGGGACCTTAGGCTCCAAACTCCGATTAAAATAAACACGTGTTAATATCATCATTATTATGAAAGATATTCCAATGCGTAACAATCAGCCACTGGCTGACTGTAGAGCTTCGCAAAGAAAACCTATGTTTCTGCTTCCTCAACTTTATTTAAGCTTAAAATAAAAGGTAGGTAGTCTTATTCCACAGTCCTTAAATAGCAGCAAATGAAAACCTAAAGAATTATATGAACCTGAATGGATGTCAGTATTGCTGCTACATCATAAATTGGAGACCACTGATTTTGTAGAATGTCCAAACAGATGCTTCCATCTGCATAAACTGATTTTTTATAGAAAAAATAGGGATCAGAACAAAGCCAAAGCTGTTGCCTCACCAATATATCAGAGCTCACAAATAAATGTCATTATAAAACATAAAATATATTTCAGATGAAGAAAACCAAAAACTAAAGCTGAACATCTAAACTTGTTTAAATAACCATCATCTTAAAAGCTTCAATTGTATGTATGCAAAGTGGCATTTGGGTTTCCTGAACATGGCTCGTGTTTGGAGATGCATAAGCAGACACCACATTTAGGCCTCCTCGATCACCCACTTTCCAAGTAAGGTCTATTTATCCACAAATCATAAGTATCACTCACTTCTCAACTATTGAAACATCACAGAAAAGTTCACTTCATACAAAAATGCAGGGCACGCAAGAGTTAATGAAAATGTAAATGTGATTAAATACTAGGATTTGTCCAGATGCTTACTGTTTGGATGGAACATTCGGGAAACAAACCGAACCGTTGGTGGCTTGTTTGGATAATCCTCCGCAAATTGAAGAGTTAGTTTAAACGCGCCTGAAGGATTAGAAAATATCTAAATAGATATTAATTAAAAGTTATTAGCTGCATACCTACATTCTATGATAGAAATATCCATAAAAAATAGAGCTTAAATGATACTGAAATACTAGTAGTTCAAACTAAAATCCACTAAAGAAATAATCATCCAAATTTTCTTTCCAGGTTTGACAGTTAGAGTGCAGAAGTTGAATGGCCATCCCTCAAGAACACCATTCCTATGGTTATTGAATTTTGGAGATTTCTCAAGGCTATGCCCATGACAAGATTATTACATATTGTGCTTCATTATTCAATGAAAATGAAGTCTAAGGGATCATTACCAATGTCACCCCCATCAAAGAACTTAAACCTTCAGCAAACAATTCACAGTTCTGTCCTGTTTTCAAGCCAAAGTTCCCCATTATAGCAAACAAATACATCACTCACAACCATTTAACAAATTAATGATGGAACTAGAGAACTACTGAGCTGTCTCCAATTATGTAGGTTATAATAACAGAAAGTGTGCCAGAAATCTGCTAAAGAGATGAGCAAACAAATGCATCAAACAAACAAGAAATGAACTAAAAATTTCTTTACCTCCATCCCAGGGGGTGTCATCAGGCCTGCAAATCCATCCAATAAAGAGATCATCACAATTCTATGGAATTTTTAAATGAAAACAAGCAAAAAAGACACTCCAGTATTATTTAGTTACATACCCAAAAATAACAGCATTCCAGAGCATAATATTGTTATCTTGAGGGGCACCACTAATTCCTGCAGGAGGATCTTGTTGCAACCTCTTGAAATCCCTCATCAGTCTCTTCCTTGCTGGAGTCGACATCGTCACTGCCTACAAATTCTAAAGGAGACTGATCCAAAATCAATACAAAGACACATACTACGAACAGTACAGGAAACCAGAGTTCTTTAACATAAACATCAAACATGTAGGATTAAAATCAGACCTCTACAACTGAAGTACTAAACCAAGTTTTAAGAAATCAGTTCTATAACCTTTCATGAAGGTTGACATACAACCCTTAATCTTTTACATTGAGGTGCAAGCAAATACCCGATTAAGTCTTGAGCTGCACAACGAGAGGCAGCTATGTCCCCAACCCCATAAACTCTAACCAATATCCCCATGATTCGAACTGATCACTTCCAACTTGCAATCTTGAGCTATAATCCACGCAGGAAATCAATTTCAACATATTCATCATGTACAAAAGAAAATGATCTCATAATTTCCTTACACATAAACAGAAAGACCAAAGTGACACAAACCCATGCTTCGTCGTTCGATGGTTGTGATCTGTTGAGTCAGTGTCCAGACTCCAGAACGAGAACAAATTAAAAGCTAAACTAAGTAACAACTAAAAGATATCAATCCAAAATCCTCAAATCTAACAAAATCCAAGATCCATAACTACAATATCAACCAAAAAAAACACCTAAAGTTTCAACATATAAAGAAATTAAATGAAGAGTTTCCCTTGGACACAAATCGAAGCAACAATAAAGAAACAAACAAAAGATGAACCTAATCTAAGAAGAAAAAAACAAAATAAAAATAAATGAAGAAAACATATATAAAAAGAAAGAAGGTTCTTACTTTCTGAGTAAACGCGGCGAGTTAACTTGGATTCTCCAAAGGAAACACTTTTTTTTCCTCTGAAGAAATATGCCCAAGAAAAAGAGGGGGGGGGGGTTTAACGAGAAAAAAAGGTAAACTACAAGAATTACCACTTATCTATTGTATTTATAAACTTTTGCATATACATTTTTTTTAAAAAAACATAAATTTTGATCATTTTATTATGTTTTGATTATTAAAACGTTGAATAACGTTAGTATGATGACGTGGTGACAAAGAAGATGATAGAGTACGATGCAAGTGGGGTCGAAGGAAAAATATATTAAGAAATGGGATAAACTAAAATTGTATCCCTAAACTATTTTAGATTTTACAAAAAAACTCATAATTAGTATTTGTTTAAAGTATATCAGTTAAAATAAAAATTAAACTCTTTTAGTAACTTGTCAAATTATAATATCAAATTAGAATTTTAATTAGTTTTGTTGGGCTGGATCCAGGCTGCCAAGTTGCCACTGCCAGTCGATACTTAAGCTTGCGATGTCATGCATATATATTCAATATTTAATATATTTTTTAAAAGTTGTTTTTAATTTAAAATTATGCTTAATTATAATATATTGTTTTTCACAAATTAGTGCTTAAACTATTTTTTGAATTATCTAGGTGACTAACGTTACAAATATTATCATTTTAGGTGCCTCGCTCCTAACAAATATTAAAAATTCCGTTAAATGACACATATCACTTTATGATATTTTTGAAAAAAAATAAAAAAATATTATATTTACAAAAAAAAATCCCTAAAATTACAAAAAAAAAATCAAATCCCTAACCTCATTTACTGGTCACGACCTTCGCCCTTGACATCTCCATGGTTGGAAGTCGTCTCCCTTATCATTATGCGTGTTGTTGGATTGCCTAAGTGTCACAAATTTGGAGTGTGTGTCGTTGGATCGCGATTTTTTTCGTTTCCTTCGTCGGAGATGCGACATTTATGGTTGGGTTTGACTTGTTGTCGGGTGTAGGTTCTGGTGGAGGTTCGATCAACGTCAAACGATGACAACCGGCATGGATTTAGGGATTGAAATTGAAGTTTTTAAAGTTGAGGGTTTTTAATACAATTTTAATTTTTTAAATAAAATTTTTAAAATTACCAGAGTGTGACATACGTCATTTAATAGAATAATTAAACGGCCATTAAGGCCTGAACACCTCAAATGGTAACGTTAGACATCTGGATGATTAAAAAAATAATTTAGGCACCAGTTCGTGAAAAATGTATAGTTTGAGTACTTATTTTATAATTAAGCCTAAAGATTAAATTATATTATAATAAATAAAATGAATAAAATATTTTTGTATTACATTTTATTATTATCTATTAAAATAATTCTTATTTATCTTATTTTTTGAATGAAAAAGAAGGAAAACCTTATCTAACTATTAGAGAGTTTAACATATTGATGGTTTAAGATGTGTCCATCAACGATAGGTAAAATTGAGACCGGCACAATATCAAAGATGCACATAGAAAAATCTCTCAATAAATCGAGTTTAACTAACACATTAGTGATCATGTTTCCTCTACGAGGAATCCAAAAAAATGAACCAATTACGACCACAAAGAAGTTATTGAACGAACTAGACGGAGGAGATTGATGTTTGCGTTTGGAGCATTTGAGTAGCCTAAGAAGTATCTGATTATATTTGTAGAAGCTCAAATCCAAAGGACAAAACAATATGTTCCATTAGTGATAATTTTTTTTTAATTAATCACGGATATCCGATATATTGACCAACTAATTTAAATCGGGTACTGCAAAGGCGAGAGCGATCATCTCAACCCAGTTTGCTCTATTCACAAACGCCAGGATTCGAACCTCTGACCTTGCTTAAGGGGCCTAATGTCTCATCCTACCAGAACAACTAATTGTTGGCGGTAATAACTTTAATTTATTAACATTCATAAATTTTTTAATAAATTTCTTTAATGATATTTGATTAAGTATATTAAATTAATTAATATTGTTTATAATATTAAGTATTAAATTGGTTGTTAATTAGTTTTTATTACCGCAACTTCAATCCATGGTCGATATATGTCCTTAAAGTATGATTCTCATTTTAAATTGGTCCCTAAAATTTTAAATATTTAATTTCATCCATAAACTATGGCTATAATTCTAAATTAGTCCTCAAACTTTTGAATGTTTTAATTTTATCCCCAAACGATGACTTTCATTCTAAATTGGTTCGTAAACTTTTTGAACATTCTAATATCATCCCAAGCTATATGTATATACTAATCACATCCCTTGCTAATAAAATCGTTAGGTCAAATTATATTATTATATGTTTGAAAAAAATAAAATTTAGGTTAAACTATGATTGAAACTAATCAAATATTTGGATGAATTTGAGGATGAAATTAGAATATTCAAAAGTGTGGGGACCAATTTAGGAAGAGGTTCATAGTTTAGAGATAAAATTAGAATGTTCAAAAGTTTAAGAATTAATTTAGAATAGAAATCATATTTTGAGGATGAAATTAGAATATTTAAAAATTTAGAGACAAATTTAAAATAAAATCCTAATTGAAGAACATATAATGCAATTAACTTGAAAATATTCTATTCAAATATGGTATTTTCAGCATTCACCCCAATTCATAGGTAAAATACTTTCCCTTTTCCTCTGTCTGGTATAATCCCATGAAACACCAAATTATAAAACTGACAACAAATAGATTATACAAAGCACTTCGTTTATGCAGTGAAAACCTTGTAGCATCCTTGCTTCCCGACAAATTTACGTTCCCTCCTCTTTTCAAAGCTTGTGCCAAGCTTAACTCACTAATTCATGGCCAGATCCTCCATGTGCATCTCATCAAGACCGGATTTTCCCACGACATCTACGCTGCTACAGCTCTCACAGGTATGTACGTGAAATTGGCTGACTTTGAATGTGCACTGAAGGTGTTTTATGAAATGCCTGACCGGAACTTGGCTTCTTTAAACACGATGATCTCTGGGTTTGGGAGAAATGGGCACCGTAAAGAAGCTTTGACAGTGTTTAAAGAGATGTGTTTTGGATTGTGGAGGCCTAATTCAGTCACTATAGCTACTGTCTTGCCAGCTTGTCAAAGTCTTAAACTTGGCATGCAAGTTCATTCTTTGGCTATCAAGATAGGAGTTGAGTTGGACGTTTATGTGGCAACTTCATTGCTGACTATGTATTCTAACTTTGGAGAAATAGTTCTAGCATTTAATATGTTTGTTAAGATGACCAATAAGAATGTTGTGAGCTATAATGCTTTTCTTTCTGGGCTTCTGCAAAATGGGGTTCCACTTATGGTGTTGCAGGTGTTTAAGAGCATGATTGAGAGTTGTCAAGTAGGACGACCCAATTGTGTTACTTTCATTTCTGTTATATCAGCATGTGCAAGTCTTTTCTACCTACAGTTCGGCAAACAGGTTCATGGGGTTCTTATGAAATCTGAGACACGGTTTGATACAATGGTTGGAACTGCACTTGTCAATATGTATTGCAAATGTCGGACTTGGCAATGGGGCTATGATGTTTTCAACGAGATGAAAGGAAGCATGAATTTGATAACATGGAATTCAATGATAGCAGGGCTGATGTTAAACAATCAAAGTGAGATGGCTGTCGTGCTGTTTGAGGAGTTGGAAGTTGAAGGAATGAAACAAGATTCAGCGACATGGAATTCAATGATAAGGGGATTTTCACAGTTAGGGAAAGGAGTCGATGCTCTTAAATATTTTGAGAAGATGCAGTCTGCTGGTGTAAAACCGAGTTTAAAATGCATGACCAGTCTTTTGCCAGCTTGTTCAGTTTTGTCTGCTTTAAAGCAGGGGAAAGAGATTCACGGGCTTGCTATTAGAATGGGTATTAGTAACGAGGAGTTCATGGCTACCGCACTGATTGACATGTATATGAACTGTGGGTATACCTATTGTGCACGTAAAATTTGTTATCAGTTCGAGTCGAAGCCTGATGATCCGGCATTTTGGAATGCAATGATTTGTGGTTATGGAAGAAATGGAGAGAATGAATCAGCATTTGAGATTTTTGACTTGATGCTGAAGGAAAATGTAAAACCAAATTCAGCTACTTTCATTGCTGTTCTATCTTCATGTAGTCACACTGGTCAAGTTGACAAAGGATTACGAGTTTTCAAAATGATGGGTAAAGATTGTGACTTGAGCCCAAATCTTGAGCATTTTGGTTGCATAGTTGATCTTTTGGGTAGATGTGGAAAACTAGAGGAAGCTAAAGAACTAATACGAGAACTGCCAGACTCTCCTGCTTCAATTTTCGCCTCTCTGCTTGGTGCTTGTAGGTATCACTTTAACTGTGAGCTAGGAGAAGAAATGGCTATGAAACTTTCAGAGTTAGAACCAGAGAATCCAGCTCCTCTCGTGATACTGTCCAACATATACGCTGCAGTAGGAAGGTGGGGAGATGTGGAAAGAATTAGACAAATGATAGATGACAGAGGATTGAGAAAATTCCCTGGATTTAGTTCAATATCCGTAACATGAAAAGGAACTTCTTACAACATCTGAAAAATATTCTTTTTCTCCACCATATTCAAACTCTTCTTCATCTTCTTGGCATATTCCGGGTTACCGGGAAAAAGTTTCACCATTAAACATTTGCTAGAATTCCCTGAAATTTGTTCAATTTAAGCGCATGAAGGAATGCAGTAAAAGTTCACTGGATTTAGTTCATTTGAAATTACATGTAGAAGACATCTTATACAAGATGTCAAGAAACTGTAAATTGAAACAAATTCTATCGTATCTCTGCTTCTTCTTGGGTTGTGGTTATGAGACACTTCACTTATTCAACATTTCTCTCACTGAAAACCCAAAGTAGTTATCAAAAAAGTTCGGGGGCTCATATATGAAGCAAGATATTACATCTCTGAGCGTAATTACACCGATAACTTCATTCTCGTCTGCTACTACATAGACCCTGTGCACCTTTTTGGTGGCAAGATTCTGGATCACACCACCAAGAGTTGAATCCACTTTGCATGTTACTGGTGAAGTGGGTCTTCCAAAATCTTGGCCAGTTGAGACAACAGTACTAATGAAATCCTTCACGGTGAGCTGCCTGAAATTAAGAATCAAGCAGATTAAAGCATTCTCAAATCACCAAGGATTGCATGGAACACTGTTAGCTTAAATACTAGATGCAATCTTTTTATTTTTATTTTGAGAGGCAGACTAGGTAAGCATCTTCGGAAGTGACCCAAGTCTCTTTTCTTCAGCAATTTAGCATATGTAATGTAACTATGTAAGCTTTTACATAAACATTGAATTTTCCCATGGCTCTATTTGCTAATTACTACTTGTTGGTAAAGAGCAATAATTCTTCACTTAAGTACGAGATGTTGGTATGCCGGTTCAAAGATGTGCAAGTCTTTCACTGTACCTGAAATTGGTGAAAAGTTCAGGTTTAAGCATCAAATGTCTGTTATCTCTTATGCTTACATTCCCAACAATCTTTTTGCCTGGCTCCTCTACAACTGCAAGACCACCAACTTGATTGTCTCTCATTCTTTTGAATGCTTCAAGAATTAGGTCATCGCTCTGGACGCTAATATCCTGACAAAGAAGATTGAAGTTTAATGTTGCAAAAATATTTAGGGTAAAGTATAGTAATTGTCACTGAAATTTTCTAAAGCTTTCATTTAGGTCCCCCAACTTTTAAAACTTACAATACACTTCCCCAACATTTAGTCCGTTTGCAATATGGTCCCCCAACAGTTATGTTGGGGACCATATTGCAAACATACTAAATGTTAGGGGACTATATTGCAAATGGACTAAATATTTAGGGACTATATTGCAAGTTTTAAAAGTTGAGGGACCTAAATAAAAGCTTTAGAAAAGTTCAGTGACCATTACTATACTTTACCCTTAATTTATTTAAAATTTTAATTGTAATTTTACATTTCTTCAATTTTGTCCTTAAATTTATATTTTTTTACAAAATTGATCCATGATTATTTCTTTTGTAATTTACTCGGAATCATATACAATTACAACTTGGAATTCAACAATCACGAACGATGATAAAATAATTAATCCAAAATTAAAAACGACTCGACCTGAACTCAATCCGTATCTGGTAAACATCCGACCTGAATTTTATCTATCAATGATGTGACCCGATCTGAACGAGATCCGATTGAAGTCCACCTGATCCTGAATTAACTGGTCTTTATCTGCTTCAAACCTGAACTGACACCGATCCGATCCGAACTGAAAATGACTCGACTTGAACCCGATATGAATATGGTGTTAATCAATCTGAAAATAACCCAAACTGATTTGACTTGTATCCGACTTGATCCGAATCAAACCATCAAATTAACCTGACTTGACCTGTACTTGATTTTACCCGACCTGCCAGGATCCGACTGAAACCTGACCGATTACCTGATTTTACAGCATTAATTGTCACCTTCTTGAGTAGACACTCCACCACGTCGGGCTATTGAGGTCGCCCTCTAAGAACGAGGGTAAGAATGTTGTTTGGGTAAAATTATTGAATTCTTACGTAATAAAGTTAATCACCAAGAATTTTTTAATCATTCGAAATATAATATAATAGAATTTAATTTAATTATTAATTAAAATTTGAATAATATTGCAAACTAAATATTATAATACTCTAATTATATTTATAACATAAAATATAAGATTAATTAATACTTGAATATGATATATTATAAAATAAAATATAAAAATAAATAAATAATATTTGAATTAAAATATCACTAGAGTTAATTAATTGGGTAAAGTATTGTAGTGGTCATTGAACTTTTCTAAAGCTTTCATTTAGGTCCTCTAACTTTTAAAACTTACAATACAGTCCCCCAATATTTAGTTCGTTTGTAATATGGTCTCCAACGTAGGGACCATATTGGAAACGAACTAAATGTTGGAGGGACTGTATTACAAGTTTTAAAAGTTGAGAGACCTAAATGAAAGCTTTAGAAAAGTTCGGTGACCACTACTATACTTTACCCAAATATTTATTAGTTATTTGAGCAAAAAGTATTACCTCATCAGGAGACATGAAAGGGAGTCCCATATCAGAAATAGGCCGTGCAATAATACAATCAAACCAGTCCCTCCCTCTGCATCCTTCCGGATCTTCAATAACTGCAGACTGAGTAATGTAGTTTTTGAATTTCTGGCTTGCCTGCCTCAATTACAGCTACATTCCTCAGCCTATATTTTGAGAGTAGCAGTAGGACACTCAACATATAACTGTCAGTTGCGACTGGAATAAAAGGAGCCCACCTGTATGATTTAACTATTGACTTTACCTGTAAGATAAAAAATCACGTGTTTCAAGATGGCATAAAAGAAGACTAGATCATCATTCTGGTCGTTAAGTCTGTTTCACAGGGTCCAATCAGAATATCTTATGACAGTGCATTTGGGGGTTTGATTATTATTCATAGAGAAAAAAAGAAGGTAGAATTACATATAAAAAAAGATGGCCTGCTCTTTGTATAGATACTCAATATTGCACCATAAAACTTACAGCAGTCGACTTGAAGGGTTCTTCTTGTACGATAGCTTTGTAAAATTCTTTGCCCAAGTTGTCAGCAGCTGCTGGAGCATCTCCTCCTGATGCTTGATCAGCTTTCACACCACCAGCGACAGCTGCTCCCATTGCAGCTGGACCTGACGCACCTACTGCTAGTGCTCCAAGAGCACCAACGGCTCCAGCACCTAAACCAACAGCTGTAGCTGTGCTGGTTGATAAAGTAACGGCATCAAGTTCTGCACTCTCGAGTACCCAGAGAATGATTTCTGAGTAACCTATGATTCCTAAGTACCTCTCTCTCCAGTTCAAGCTACTGGCTGCCTTTGGGTTTACCACAGGTGCAGACAATATGTTGCAATCTGATAGAATCTTAACGGCATCAGCAATTGTTGTGTCTGCTTGAATTTCAATCACTAGAAAAAGTTGTCACAACAATTAGAAACTGATGCGTTTTCCATAGTGATACTAAGTTCATGAACATAATATTGCTCGAATTGTAGATGCAATAAAGCTTTTCTCATCACCTTTTCCAGTAGGAACTTGTGGGAAAGATGAAACAGGAATCCTTGCAAAAGCAGTTGTTAAAGTCTCCTGCAACGGTTGTGGTAATTTCTTCCTTGACTTTACTTTCTCAAAATAAGCATCACAGCTTGAAAGTAAATCAGAGTCGCAGGGCGAAACGCCCATAAGACTAGTGGGGTCGTCTTATATATACATATAATATATATATTAAAATATTAAATTTGACCTCTCAATAAATGTTTATAATAAATTATTAAATTTGATTGTCTAGATCTATTAATTAGTTGAGTAATCAATGATACTACTTAGGGGTTTTCTCAGGAAATGCGGGTTAATATACCGTTAATATACGGCGTTACCGGATACATTATAATATATTTAATAAATTCGGTTTAGCGCTACCGGAAATATCGAGTAATAACAATGTTGTAGGTGGAAATTATGAAGAAAATATTAAAAAATTTGGCAACCGGCAAACTTAGCTTGTCGGTTTGTGTCGATACAAATGAAAAAATGTATCGCTCCATAGCAATATAACAGGTAAAAATATGATAAAACCGGTTTCATTATGATAAAACCGGTAAACCGCTACTGGATATATTGAAAGTATCGATTAGATTTAAATACGTATTGACACTTTTGGAATTTAAAAGAGAAGAAGTAATAGCGCCTATAAAGTGTCGATACTTTATAAAAATGTATCGATCCATAACAATATAACATGTATAAGTATGACAAAACCGGTCACGAAATGATAAAACCGGTAAAGAGCTACCGGATATATTAAAAGTGTCGATACGTTAATATAAGTATCGACACTTTTTGAATTTAAAAGGGAAGAAGTTATAGCGCCTATAAAGTGTCGATACTTTATACAAATGTATTGATCCATAGAAATATACCAGGTAAGAATATGACAAAACAGGTCTCGAAATGATAAAACCGGTAAAAAGCTACCGGATATATTGAAAGTGTCGATAAATTAATATAAGTATCGACAATTTCGTAATTTAAAAGAGAAGAAGTTATAGCGCCTAAAAAGTATCGATACTTTATGAAAATGTATCGATTCATAACAATATAATAGGTAAAAATATGACAAAACCGGTATCGAAATGACAAAACCGGTATCGAAAGTATCGACACTTCACATAAAAGTATCGACACTTATGTAATTGCATCGATTGAATATAAATAACATATCCAGTGTAAATATAAAGACATAGCTAAATTTCCTCTGAAAATAGATAGAGTTTTTGAAATCGAAGCGTAATTGTTGCTGCATTTCAGAAGGCGTTTATACGTTGAAGTTTGTTTGTTTGTTGTTGCATTTCAAATCGAAAGGTACGTTGTTGAAACCCTAGTTTTTTATTATTACAGTAATTAGGGTTTTTATGTGTTGTTGTTTGGGGTTTTCGAAGTAAAGAAGTATTTGAGACCGATTATATGTAGAAAGTGATCTTCTAGGTAGATGATAAATATCGATACTTTTATTTAATATTATAGGTAGAAAATGATATTATAGGTTGTATAAATGTGCCGATACTTGGAGTATTGAGTGTTCCCATTCGTTTGAAGGAAATAGGGAGATTTTGGGACCAATTATTATATAATATTATAGGTAAAAAATAAACATGGATACCTGTATATAATATTATAGGTAGAAAATGATATTTTAGGTTGTATAAATGTGCTGACACTTGTTGTAGTGGCTATTCAAATTCTTTTGAAGACCAACCGTTTTACCACAAGAGTGGTTATCGATTTTTGTATACAAGTATTTGATTTGATTTGCGTAAACTGATATATGAAGGAAAAATGAAGTCAATGGGTGGAAAGCAACCAAAGGGTGGATATATGTACTTCTAGTAAGTATCAATTTCTTTTTGTTATTATTGTTGAAATGGTAATTGGATTAAAGTATTTAGGAACTTTAAATTGATTACAAATTTCAAAATGTTGACAGTATGACCGAATGCAAAAGGATGAAGGAAGATGGCACACACAGCGGTTCGATATATAAAATGAAATTGACATTGAGTATTATTTAGCGTTAATGTATTGATTAAGAAACGTTTATGCTTAATATTATGTGACAAAAGATGTGAGGTCAAAATGGAATTCGATGAGTGATGCTCAAAAGGAATCTTACACCACACAGTCAAGGAATGATAGTAAAGAATACAAAGAACGGAGGAAAGCACATGAAAAGAAGGTATTCATTAAACTTGTAAATACGTTGATACAAGATATATAAGAACAATAACATTATATATTGTTAAAAAATGTAGGATGTGTCGACAAGGTGCAGCATAAAAATGGTGTATTCATTAATTGAACACCTTAAAAAGAATGATACGTTGAATGTGCTGAGTGAAATGGGGTTTAGATTATTGATAAGAGTAAAGGATCGACCAATTCGGAGGGAATTGTGTCGATCCTTGATGGAGCAATTTGATGTCAAACAATGTATTGCTAAATATGGCGATTATTCATTCCCTCTGGGGGTATCGACTGCTGCAGCCGTCTTGGGGGTACAAAACAAAGGCAACAGTGTTGTAGAAGTCTGTAGGAGTAAGAACTGGAAAGAACTTGCCTCCAAATATGGTTTGAATCATAAGGTGACATATGCTGAAGTTGAAGAGGATATCAAAAGCGGATCTTACCGAGGGGATGAGCTGAAGGCCCGAGTTCTATTGTACCTTGTCGGGATATTTCTTTGTCCAACGGGTGATACGTCAACGAACAAGGACAATATGAAGCTCATTTGCGATGAAGGCTTGAAGGGTGAATTCAATTGGGCTGAATATGTTCATTCGAGATTGATTGAATCAATAATAACCTTTCAAAAGGGCAGCCAGAGATACCTCAAAGGGTGCATAGCAATCTTAGAGGTAATTGAGTTGAAGAATGTTTTTGTTTTTTTATATAAAATGATGGTATAGTTATTATATAAAATGATTAATTTTATTATAAATTCAGGTTGCACTGTTCGATTATTGGTCGGGCTGTGATAGTTTGCCGGCTTATGAAAGACACGGAGTGGCACGCATCCGTGCATGGGAGAAGGAAGAGGTGGTTAGAGTGATGGCGAAGTTGAAGGTGGATAGATCGAGGAAGCTAGAAATGGTAATAAATGAAATTAAATAATATTAAGAATATAATCAATGTCTTAATACAAATTTAATTTTGAAGGTTATTTTCAAGGACGTAGAGGAGGCAGAGGAAGAGATGGTTGGAGGGGTAGATTACGGTCAGGGGGATTACGGTCAGGGAAAACAGAGTAAATTCGACATTTTGTTGTCTGAATTGGCTTATATTAAAAAAATTGTTTTTGATATTCATAAAAGACAATCAAGAGTCGAAGAGACACATGAGAGGCATAAGATGGAAGTGGAAGGAAAGATAGATATATTGGTGAAAAAAGTTGAGGTGTTGAGTGGTGAAGTTAATCTGTTGACGGGTGTAAAAATTGATAGAGTTGTCAAGGAATTTGTGGAAATAAGGAGTGAATTTTTAGGGTTGAAGGAGGTGGTTCATAAAAACTTTGATGAAGGGCTGAAATTGAAGGGTGAAATAAAAGAGATGAAGAGCTATGTAGAGAAAAAATACGATGAACTGAGAAAATTTGAAGAAGAAAAGATGGAGGAAATGAGGAGAAAGGATGTCACTAACATCTATACACCGGAGAGTGTTATAGATGCAAATTTGGATTCGGAATGTCCTACACCCCAGAAGAATAAGCAGAAGGTAAGTTGAATAAAAGATAACTTAATTTGATTTTTATCATGTTGTTGTGACACAAATTTGTATGCAAAACTCTAGGTTGTAAAAGCGGATATTCCAATCGGAATTGAACCGGTCGAAGCTGCAATTTGTGATTATTTATGGAATAGTGGGTTAGAATCGGGGTAAGTCACTTATATTGCTTTGTGAGTGATATTTAAATATTTCATGAAAAGATATTAATCATGAAAAGATATTAATCCTAATGATTTATACAGATATACTGTAATCTTAATGGGAAATCAATACGCACAAGTATCCGACGTTGCAACGTTGAAGCCTATGGAATGGGTTGGTGGTATGGTATGTAGAAACCAATTAAAAGAAAAAACCTATTGAATATGTTCTGATTGTGTAATTAATTTTTTTAGGTTATTGATTTGCTCGCCTGGACAGTATGCTACGATTCTAAAAAGTCAGGCAGGATGATTGGTTACATTCCATACCACTTAGAGGTGAGTTAAATTAATAAATGTTGAAAAGTAATGTTATAGACGGTAAATTAATAATGATTGTCAAGTAATTGCAGTAACAGGCGTTGGACAACGGTCATGTTGAGGGTATTGCGAACTTTTGGGTTGCCATGTTGCCGAACTATTAGAAATTCACCAACTGTGAGAAGGTAAGACACCATACGAATAGGCATAAATGATGTTTTTGGATATATAATGTTGAATTTTGTCAAATTGTGTGTGAAATTTGTTGCAGATCATGATCACAATAAACTACAATAATTCACATTGGTATCTGTTGGTGTTGGATATGGTAAAACATGTTGGAACTGTATATGATAGTCTATTTAAATCTGAAACAGCTAAACAACGAGTGAATGATGCTAAGAGATTGGCATGTATGAAAGGAAATTATGTAAATTATAATGCATAATTTGTTTGGATCATAACTTCATATTTTTTAATGCAGATGAAAATATTAGATAGTTATAATGAGAAACACATTTGGGTAGAAGCATGTGGCTCTCTAGGAAAAGTCCCCTTGCAAAGATTCAAATTCGTGGAGCATAAGATAACCGAACAATTGAATGGATATGATTGCGGCATCTATGTGATGATGTGGATGGAATTGATCGATTCTAGCGGGGCTACTGGTGATTTTGTAAGTAGAATTAAAAATTAGTTTGTCGTTACATTATTAAAAGTCGTAGATTGAATGTTGTGGTTTACAATAATTAACGTACTGATAATTTGAATATAGGTTGTTGGAGAATGGGATCATATGCGAATATTAAACGATCTCGTATTCCACAATAAAAATCAACTAAGAGAGAAGATGACAAAAGCTGCCATGCTACAAAAGAATAACAAAAGGAAGCGATGATGTAAATGTAGGGTTAATTTTGTATAAGATATTTAATTTTGTAT